GATCTGTTATCATTGTTCCCAAATATCTGAATTGTCCCACATTTTCAGAACATCTGTTTCCTACCTTCATATCATGATTTTGCCCTGCATTTTGGTGACGAGACAGCAACATAATACTTTTTTTTCTCAGTGTTTACTTCTAGACCAACCTCTTTACTTGCGTCAATTAAAGTTTGTGTGTTTTTCTTTATGGTATCTACATTATCACCCAGTAGATTCACATCATCAGCATAGGCCAACAGCTACACAACTATAACAATATGGACAGGGGAGGCCAAAAACACTGAAACATTCATAAATCATTTAAAGAATTTGAAGGAAAGGTGCTGGAATGATCAACATTTATGGAATGGGATGGGAAATCAATGAAAGTGAGAAGAAGAAGAAGAGAAAAAGGGTATACTGGTTTGTAAATCAATGGCTCTATCCAGAACAAATAATCACCAAACAGACTCACCTAGCAGCCATTATATTACTGGCATTTAAGTCAACAATTTCTTCAAATCCTATTGCAAAAATATCAATAGGAGGTTCTTCTTCAGGTACGTTAGTAACATCAACAAGTGCTGGAAATAAGACAAGAACAGCATTCCCTTAGTAGGCCTTCAGGAGAGTTAAAACCAATTTCTTTCACGGGTGGGTGCGTAGGAAGGTTCACAGCTGACAAGCCATTCAACACTGAGTGGAAGATCCTTCATGGCCCTGCAGCAAGGTCAGTTTTCAAAATTAAATTACTGTTTTACACAAAAAACATGTGATGTTCATAAGTACTCGACTCTTTGAATCCCCCACTGGACATCTAGAAAACTTCATTCAGTCCACTGCAAGACTGGGCCAGATGGTTTAAAATTCAAACAATACTGAATTGACATTGTGTCTGGTAGTATGATGTATGTTGTCCTCTGTTGACTCAAGTATAACAGTCATAAAATTACAGCTCATGACAATGTCGGACCGGGTTCAACAACTTCAAAATTAAAACAGAATGAATTAAAGAATAAGATTTCTTGGGGTTATTACATATTCAATTCTTCTTTCAGGTATTCCTGATTTTTGTATGTGTTCAAATTTTTGTTAGTGAAGTTAACAATGTCACCAAATTCAACAGAGAAGGTCATTATTGTCACTATTCCTGTTTATTTCTTGAAATGACCATGTTTTTGGGTCTTTTTCAGTGCCAAGTGTTCTAAAGAACTTGCTTCAAAAACTGGAACCCAGTAAGTAGTGCTACACATCATTGTCAGAACCCTTTAGAATCTACTGTTTATTTCTTCTATCAATTTGCAACATGTTACCTATTCAGTACATTGGATTTACTTTTGAACAGAACTCTTTTGTCACATTCAATCACAGTGCCCTTACTACATGCTCTATAATTTACAAATGAAGTTATTACAAATGAAGATTACATTCAATTCACTTTTCCTCATCACAAGACCTCCTTCCATATCTATTTTCATATGACTTTTCAACTGTAATGACAGACCACGGCAGTGAGAAGTGTATAAGCATATGTTTGATGTGTCCTGAAGAAATCTGACAAGAAACTGCTCTGGAACCTCCCATATTACTATGGTTGCGATGCATGTCATATACAATGGACATACTTACATTGTGACCTCGCTATTCGGCGAGCATCCAACAACCAGTCAGAGAGTGAGAGGTCCTTGTATACAACACTCCGGAAATGCTTTCCTCCATTCACATTATACGTTCCAACAGCTATCCTAGCAATCATTGGGAAGATGTATTCATTATACCGCTTGCACATCTGACGTAAGACACTCGTTGAGGCTAAAAATATGGAAGTCATAGAATTGTTAAAGTCAATGCAATAAAATTATTTTGGATGATAAGCCTCGTCAATTCAGAGCAAAAGTATAATGGAGACAGTCTCCAAAACATTGGACTTTTGCTCTGAACTGATGAAGCTCATAGCCTAAGAAGACTGCTAGATGCAGTGCAAGTTTCAGACATTACATATCAATACCACGCTTCAAAATTGCAAAATATGGCATTCTTTACACCCACTCTAACGTTGTATTAAACCTATATCATCTGTATACTGCGCTACTGTGATGGTACATGCTCAGGATCAACAGGCCTAGCATCGCATTGTTTCAGTACAACTCCTCAGTTAAAATCCGGTCACCAGTGATGCAGTAGTGGGGAATTTAAATCCTGTTCCCAAATGATAAAGGTTAATAATAACAGGTTAAATGAACAAATTCATAAACTTTGAAGACTATGCTTATTTGGTAAAAGATAAAGCTATGACTGCAACAGGCTGTGAAGGCCCATAGGGTTGTGAGATGCTGAGGCTCCTACATCTTCTAGATAGTCAGCTCACAGATGGCGGCAAGGTCGTCAGCCTTCCGCGCCTTCCGCCCCTTATCCCCCAGGAAGATTCCAGGTACTCATTTCTGTTAGAGGCTGAGTCGACCCCAGGGCCATAGTGTGGCTGGAAGGATTAGGTAAAATGAAAAAAAATCCAATGACATCATCGGGAATCAAATCCGTGACCATCCAGATTGTAGCAGAGTGTCTCAACCAACTGCGCTACTGTGTGCTTATTTGAATCAATGGCAAATTCATTCTATTTTTATATGCCTTATATTCTCATAATTGGGCAGTAACAAAGACACTCCTCATAATACGTGACAGGGGAAGTAGATTCTGCAGAAAAAATAAATGTCAAATAAGGAGACATGATGTGTAATGGTTTTTACTTATTTTATGGCAATAACCTCAAGAAACCTGCATTTACATCAAACCATTCTGGCCAGTGACTCTCAAACAGATGTAAGCATTTATACATAAAAGATACTTAGAACATTTCATAGTGCTCAGAAGTCAACTCTGCAGTGTCAGTGAGAATGTAAACAAACATAAATGCTTAGAAACTTGAGGTTTTCACAATTGTGAACATTAAAATTACAGTCTTCTTGGATGTGATAGTGTGTAGTCTGGTAGAGAGGTAATAATGTTTTGGGGAAGTCTGCTACCTCAAACTTCAGGCAAGGAGGCAGCAAGCTCCTACAAAATGTTATTAACCTATCAGATTTTTTTAATTCACTTAGTGTGGGGTGGAGTCCAACTGGGTCCACTTGGCACAGCAGCCACTATTGTAGCCTCCCCGGGGTGATTATGATGATGGAGAATTTGGTGCAATGAAGATTGGCAGGGGAAAACAAAGTACTCGGAGAAAACCCGCCCCAGCATAACTTTGTCCACCACAAATCCCACTTGACCAGACCCTGAACCGCCGTGGTGGGAAGACAGCAGCTAACCACTTGAGCTATGGCAAGGCCATGAACCTATCAGATTACATGATTCCAGAAGAACAAAATCCTAACTGCTTAGAAATCAAATTCTACGACTCAGATGATAACAGAAACAAACATAAGGACATGCACATATCCTGTGGCATTATCTACAGTGGATAAGCTGAGGTGGCTATCAATCTGTCTTGTGATGCACCAATTTCATTACCAATAGTCTACACTACAATCCAGACATTTCAATTGTAAGAAAGACAGAAACATTCGATACCATGCAACATATTGGATGGCAGTAGGATACGTGCACGGTCAGCTAATTCACTGTTGAGGGTACTTCCCAGCAGCAGTATATCAATAGCTTCCTGCTTGCTGTTATCCAAGAGGTTGTTCTGAATGGTCCGTGCTGCAGATCTCGCTCCATCCATTAGCTACAACAGAACACCTCACTCTTAAGTGCACAGCAGTGTTTCTCTTTGCTACTCTGTGTCTTTTTTCATTCACTTTGTGTGCTCTTAGCGTAAGTAGTTTACTTAAGCTTTGATTAGTTTGTCACTGAGGATTTAAATATTATAAACATCTCATTTGTGTATGAGGCAACAAGATACAGATTCACTAGTATGTGAATAAGTTAAGAGTAATGTGATTCAAAAGACAGAAGACAGCAATTTTGCACCACAGTGTAACAATGTGAATGCAGTATTTGACAGAGCGCTCCACGCCTGTCCATGGGAAAAGAATAGCTTAGGGCTCAAGGTCATGACTCCAACTTTACGAAGTGGTGCCATTCAGACCATAATGGTTAGAACATGATACTGTAAACATTCTCAATAGCACATGCAGTACCATCTGTTATCATATTCTGCAGTCAGCTTATATGCAAGCCTTTGAGTGGAACATCCATTGGAGTTCCCACAAACTAGCTATGACTGGTGCACAGCTGATATTACATAATTTTTTTATGCACATAGAACAATACCATTTGAAAGACTGCACATAGAAATCAAGGAAAACTGCAACACTGACTCCTAAAATCTTCTCTGACAATAAGCCACAGACTTTTGAAGCAGAAAATATTTTACAGCTTTTAACCATTACAAAAACTCCAAGCTTTATGAACAACATTTACCTTCGAACCTCCTTGGATTGCACCTGTACCAGCATAAATCTTACTGACTTCATTCCCATTGCTGATCCACATCTGACGAAAAACCTCTTCAAATCGAGACACCATCTGCTGTTTCTCCATTAGGTGAAGAAGATGGAGTTGTGTAGCAAGTGTCTGTAACAGTACAATTTGCACTTATTGCTGACATTACTTAGAGGGTAAGAAAGACAAACTTCTATCTACAAACCAACCGTTTAATGACAAGGTCATTTCCATCTGCCCAACTGCTCATTTCACCTCTCATACCATGCTATGTGTTTCAATGAAATTCAGCATGGAAGTGCTTAACTAAAAATTTTCAGAGTTTTCAAATGACTTTAATATTGGGACATCCTGATCCACAAAAACTCCTACTGTACATAGAAATAAAGCTGTAGATTCTATTATGTTCTGTTACTCATATGGGTAATAAAACTACTCTGGAAAAGATTACTAAATAAGTGAAGTTTTTATAACTTAAACAGTTTTAAATCCAATTTCCTGAAAGACAATAAACTTACTGTTTCAAACCTACTTCGTAAACCAATATGTGCATTTGTAAGAAACTTAGTGATAACTATACCCTCCAAATGGAGCAGACAGTTTAACATCATATATCTTTCAGAGGTTAAGAAGATGCATAAGATGTGGGAGCTAAATTAACCAACTAAATTAAAGTTAAATGGCATATCACAGAAACTGATAAGTGGAAAATCTGCAAGGGCTGTTAACAAATTTCATGAATAGCGTTAATAAAAGACAAATATTGTCAGAATGGTTATAAAAAAATGTAATACACTACCGTGAACTTTACTATAATCATACCTCTAACCCAAAGAAAGTCTGTACACAATTTGTGCGATCAAGGCAGTCCAGACAGTTTGTACGTATCGTCCCTTTCTGTTCACTGTAAAAACACAAAAAGTTACATATTAATGTACTTACTTACTTACTTACTTACTCATGGAGCTGAGCCCTTCTTGAGGTGCCGCCAATTCTGCAGCTACTCAAGAATTTCCCAGCATTTTATGGAACCCGAAGGTTCATCAGCGTGTTCACAAGAGCCCTCCACTGGTCCCTATCCTGAGCCAGATTTATCCAATCCATACCATCCCATCCTACCTCTCTAAGATCCATTCTAATTTTGTCCACCCACCTATGCCTTGGTCTTCCCTGTGTACTCTTTCCTTCTGCCTTTCCCACCACTATCCTATACGCATTCCTCATCTCCCCCATTCGTGCTACATGACCTGCCCACCTCATACATATTAATATACATGGAGGGTATTCTCTAAATGAAAAAAATGACAGTATAATGAGAACCCAGCAAAGAAAGTGATATTCAATTCACTTTCATGTACCAGTACCCTAATATTCTCACAACTATCGTATGTATGTACATGCACACCTTCATTTCGTAAGTTAAAAAATGAAGATGACAAACGACTATTCTGGAGACCATAGACTAGGTGAAGAGAACAAGAGAAAAATGAAAAATAAGGACAGACCCTTCTGTTTTCACTGTGGTAGGGATTATATGAAGCAAAGAGGGTATGCCCATCACAATGTAGCTCTGGCAGGACCTGCCTTGTCAGAGAGGATGCAGCGGTGAGGTCAAACTAACAGTGTCCCACTCACTGTCACTATTTTTGGCTCTTCTTTGTCTTAATACTTTCAGACTAAATATAAGCAATTATTTGAAAAACCGTGACTAAGAGCACCTGTGTATCACGAAAAGATACATAAGGTATGACTACTTATGAAATACAGCCTAGTATAAATAAATTCTAAAGTCACATATGCATGCAGTAGCACTTTAAAGATAATGTGCAAAATACTGCATTACCTTATGACTTCATCATCTTTGGCATAGAAGAGAGAAAATGACTTCATATATTTTTCAACTTTGGCTTTCAATTTAGTAAGATTCTTTGTATTTCCACCTCTACATTCCTGATGGTAATCAAATAATATATGAGGTACATCTGAGGCATGGACTGACGCTTTGTGGTGGGCCTGCAAATATAGTCATTAACAGTGAGGCAGTTTTGACAATACAGAATGCCATCCCGCTACTGAAAGATCTGATGTTTTTCTTAATTTCAAATAATTTCAATACAAGACATCTGATCATTTGACTTACCTGAAACAACTGACTTAAGATGGCTTCTCCTTCTTTGCTCCCAATTAGACTTGACCCCAGTAAATTCACGATCACCTGGTTTCCATATCGCTCTTTAATAATTTTCAGGTGGCGATCAAAAGCAGAGGCAGAGGATTCAAATCCACGTGACATTTTCACTTTATGAGACCCAACCTCGAAAATAAAGAATATATTTTAAATTTCACATGTATCAACAAATGGAAGCTTGCATACACTAATTTCCAATATAAACATATTCCTACAACAAAACAACAAAAACGTTCTGCCATAAACAAAGTCTATATGCAGCTTAATATTCGTGAGCGCTTATAATTAACAGACTGATTCACTGGTAATAGAATATGAAGATCCAACATCACTAATACTAAAGCTGATCACTGAACAAAGTTCTAAGTCAGTTCAATCTAGGTACCAACCTTACAAACTCTTTGTTCAAGATTCACTTTAACCCACTTGGACTGAGATTGCCAGGTACAAAAAATTACACTGAAGCTGGGATTGTTTCTGGAGAAGTCAGTAACTGATGGAAAGAATATTTGACTGCTATAATAATGCACCATGGATAACAGTACTGAATAAATGTGTTACTGAGGCATTCTAAGATACAGCCAAAAACTGAACTCGGTCACAACTGCTGAGGGCAAGCCAAAATTATGTACTTTCTGAAATGATATGAATAGTTCTGTGCGCTGGTTCTTGGTCCATCAAAGTCTTACACAGAACTGTTCCACATTCTGAAGCCAATGAGTAATACTACTCCTTTTAATTTTCTAAGCGGATACTTTCTGAGAGATTTTATCACTAAAATTCAGTATCTATTTCTCATTTCACCATTCAAGCCATGTATCAAAACATCATAATCTTGTAGGATTTGAGGTTCTCACAAATAGAGGTTATGAAGGGTTCTATCTTCTGGGATGTAATGCCATGTAGTCTATCAAAAGTCAAACAGTGTTTTGGAGGAACATGCTGCCACTATCTTCATGTTTGAAGACTAAGCCAAGCAAGAAACCAGCAACAAAGCAGGTGGCAAACAGACCAGCCACCTACTTTGATGCCGGTTTCTTGCTTGGCTTAGTCTCCAACCCTGATGACGCTACAGACATGTCCCTCCAAAACGTCAGTTGATTTTCAAGAGACTACACAATGTTATATTCCAGATGATGAACTCATTATAATCTCTGATTTTTATAGCCACATAACAATGCAGTGAAATTAAATAATAGTGTATGCAAAACACAATATTATAGGATCTATGCTGATTAGCATATAGTCTACTCTACAGCGAACAATAAGACGGAGACAGACGCAAAGACAGGGAAAGTAGAAAAGCATAATTTCTGTTCACATATTAGACTTGTCTGGAAGGACAAAGCATTGAAGTACTTCAGCTAACATTACACAGTACACTACTCTTAATATTTAAAAATTTCTGCTACTACAAAAATCTGTCATAATAATGAGTATAAAAGTAAAGCTATCCCTGTAACAGGCCGTGAAGGCCCATAGGGTTGTGAGACGTTGAGGGTGCCACATTATCTAGACAATCAGCTCAAAGATGGCGGTAAGGTTGCCAGCCTTATGCGCCGGCCACGCTTTACTCCCCAGGAAAATTATTGAATTAATTCCTGGTACTCATTTCTGTTAGAGGCTGAGTAAACCCCACGGCCTAGTGCGGCTGGAAGGATTAGGTTAACTGAAAAAAATCCATTACATGGATAATAATGAGTATAAGACTTTAAAATATCAACATTAACACATCCTAAAATGTCTAACTCTTAGTTTATTAATCTGCCATTACCAAATATCTTCCATACAACACTGCAGATGAAAGTCTGAGAACATATAATTAAACATTCATAAGTGTAGCATACAGTATACAGCAGAAAATTGATAATAGGAAACTATATTTGAGAGCTTATACAATAAAGATTACTTGTACGCCTGGTTGCTCCCAAAACAGAGGCACTGAACCCCTAGTCTGTACATATGATGTTACTTCCTTGTCCAGAAAGATAACTTGTTCTGTTTCAACAAAATTTGCCACATGACCCTCATCGTTACAGCCTCGAACGTTAAACCTGAAACATTAATGAGATAGTATAAAATATGAGCCCTTCATAAAGTTTCAACAATTTGCAGTAAGAAGTACAATTAGTTCCTTTTTGTTGGGCTGTACTTAGGAAGAATTAAAAGCCCTTGAGCATACCTGGTCCCAGCTCTCTCACAACTAAGTCGAGAGATGATGACAGCCCGGGCCTGCCGGTGACCCACATACACAGTCCTGATTTCAACACTGCCACACATCGCCTTCAGCAGCCAACTGGAGCAGTTAACACTGAATCGAAGCAGATGTATATGCATCATGCGATTCCTGTAACAAAGATGTCGCCACAAAATCTTTAAATTTGTAAGATTTGAGGTTTTCACGGCAGTGACTATGAAGAATGTAATTTTCTGGGATGTGATGTCATGTAGATATTGTGTGAACTGACGTTTCAGAGGAATGCATCGCCTCTGTCTTCAGGGAAAAAAATCTGTAAGTGAGAAACCAGAGTGAGCAGGTGACTGCAGCCAGTGAATTTTTCTACCCTGAAGATGGAGGCGATGTATTCCTCTGAAACGTTGGTTAACACAAGATCTACATGGCGCCACATTCCAGAGGATGGCATTCTTCACCTTTATATTTTTTCCTTCAACATCATCATAGCAGCCAATGAAATCTACATTTGTCTTTCAATATTATGCCTGCAACTGATGGTAGGCAAATAAAATCTGATAATGCATGAAGTCATAAATATAGTCTAAAAGTTTTGAATAAATTGTTATTTAATCGAAGAATGGGGGAAAGCCTGAACGTAGACACTCCAAGATTTTTAATTTATGAAAAGATGATGAAACCAGCCCACACTATATTAGGCACTGACCAATATCTTTTTTCCTACTAACATTTTTGCCAGTACTCTCACGTTCAGTTTTTTTTATTGCTAGTGGGGTGGGACTAAGTCCTTTGTACTGCAGCCACTTCTGGCCTATTGTACCAGCCCCAGATGATAGGTGAGGGTGATTGTGGAGAAATTGGTGGAATGAAGATTGGCAGGGGAAACCGAAGTACTCAGAGAAAACCTGCCCCAGTGCCACTTTGTCCACCACAAATCCCACTTGACCAGACCTGGGATCGAACCCGGGCCGCCACGGTGGGAAGCCAGCAACTAAACGCTTGAGCTATGGCGTGGCCCTTACGTTCAGTTTTAGCCTCAAGGTTGAAACATGTAATACACTGGAAGATGTGTGACTTTTGACAAGTGTTCCTGTACACATCAGCTGCCAGTATACATAGCGGCTGAAGAAGTACTAGCCTTGACCAAGTTTCCCATTTCCTTTACAAGGGGGCAAGAAGCAGCATAGTTGGTTGAGGCACTATGCAACAAGCTGGAAGGTCGCAGGATTGAATCCCGATGAGGTTGAATTTTTCAGTTTACCTAATCCTTTCAGCCGCACTCTGACCCTGGGGTTGACTTAGCCTCTAACAGAAATGAGTACCAGGAATATTCTTGGAATATTCCTCGGGGCAAAGGGTGGCCGGTGCGTAAGCCTGACAACCTTACCGCCATCCATGAGCCGACTGTCTAGAAAATGTGGGAACCTCAACATCTCACAACCCTATGGCCCTCCATGGCCTGTAACAGGGATACCTTTACTCCTTTTTTTTTACTTTTACTGTAAGAGAAACCTTAGTAACACTTACACATCTGCATCAGCCTAAGAATACACTGTATATGATTGAATACAACATGTATCAGAAAAATTATATAGCCCTAAATTGGTGGGGGGAGTGGAATGTTACACCATTTTTGGCGTTTCAACACTATTTGTCACTCGTCTCATTGCAAGAAGTTGGGCATAAATTGCATTGCGCACTTGTCTTACCACTACTGAATAGTACAACCCCTTCATTTCTTCATCTCAAAGTCATAATAACAAACTATATACCTTTAGTGGATTTTTAAGAACTGCTCATTAGCCACACTCCTTTCAAAAGTAGCTATCTGGGGGACAGAGTGTGGCTTCTTTCAGGCAAATACAGTAAATCACCATTTGATGTTTCTGAGATATGATGAATTTGAATGCTAAACTGACAAAAGCCTTAAATGGTGGGAACCTGGCACTAAAATAATGTGACTTGAGTTATAGAAATCGTATGTCAGATTGAAGAAAACTTTATATCAAGAAACATTAAGTGGAAATTCCATTGCATCGTGATTCTTTGAAACCCTACATACCAGAAGAACCTGTTGTCTGTGGCAACATCCTTTCTTCTACGTTGAGCACATAATGTAATATCTAATGCCTGTCCAGAGGCTGACCAGGAAAAATAGAAAGTTCCTGAGTTGAGAAGTTTACGGACTTCAGCAATGCGCTCTTCATCCTGTGATTGGTTACGTAGTGACACAAAAGTGGTCTGAGTTATCCGAAACACTTCAGAATCCCCAATCTTTCCAACTGACACACAGCCAGTAACAAGTACCAGGTACAGCACAGTGTTTTCCCCTGTGAACACAAAAGATGGACACATAATACACCTTTCATGTTCAAGGCCTCAAAAAGAAAACAATTACACAAAAACTATTATTACATTTTTCCTTTACTCATTAACAATATCCAGTATTGATATTCCTTGCCTTCCTCATACCATAACTATGAAACAAGTGAAAGAGTTAAGACAATATTTTCAAGGCTAAAAAAATATTAAACATAAGACTCGGAGCTGATGGAGGTGAATGTTTTGTATTACATGCAAAACGGTTTCTCAGATACGCTGATTCTTGGAACTGAGAAATGTGCATATAATCTGAGGGTCCACAGAAATGGTCCAACTTCTCATTCATATACCTGCATTCAGCTGTAATACTCCCAAGCAGCCATACCCATCCAGCAGTTTTGTGTACTGCTTCTTGACGGACTCAGTTTCTTGAAGCGCTGCAAAGAAACCAAATCACACTATTCACTTCTTTTGATATGATGCACTAATTTCAGCTTTTAGGCTCTCAAGGTGCTTAATTATCATTCCTGATTCTGTCTTTGGGTTGTCACACCACGCGGATATCAGTTTGTTGCTGACATTCTGGAGGTACATGCTACCTCCACCTTCAGGGTCAAAGTATGTATCATTGTTCTTATATGCAACAGGAAAAGGGGGAGGGAGAGATAGAGAAGGGATTGGTGCCTCCTCTGGGCCATTATGGACAGTGGACTGGGATAGTAGTGCAGATGGCCCTTTTATGGGCCTAGGATTTTTTATGCAGGTAGCAAGCAGGGCTGTGGGATGTCCAAAACGGTATACCAAGCAACATTAAAAACAAGTAACAAATACAAGAATTTGAGTACAGACCACAAAAGCACACTGGGCCTGGTATTTATACTATAGTTTCAATATGAAGTTATATTTCTTTCGAATAATTGTGCATGTGTTTATGCGTACACACACTTCTGACCTTCCTTGTATCTGCAGAGTTTGAGCTTCAAAAAGTATTTACAGACTGCATCACCAATGGCCAACTTTTGCAGATAGAGGGTGTCACGTGGTCAGCACAATGGATCCCCACAGCTGTTAATATCGGTTTTCTAGACTCCTCAATTATCCTCACGAGGCTGAGTGAACACTGTTCCAGATCCCTTACTTCTTAGAAAATCTGGTAGCATTGGCAATCGAACCAGGACCTCTGGGTCTGTAGGCAGGAACTCTGACCACTAGACCACAGAGGCAGTATGTGGCACTATCTTTGCTGACAAGCGGCGGTCACTTGGTTGGTATATTTCACTTACGGGCTACAAGCCACGGAGTTTGCTTTCTTATCAACAATGGCTCATTATTTACATTATAATCTCAGACTGGGACTAAGTAATAGTCCAACTTGTGAGAGGTGTCTGGAAGAAAATGAAACAGCCACACATATCCTGTGCAAATGTGAGGCCTTAGCTTATTTAAGATTTTGTCACTTGGGTCAATATTTTATGGAACAAAGTGACTATTTTGATGTCACCACATACAAAATCCTGAGCTTCATTTGAAGTGCAGGATTGCTGAGGGGATAATCAGAAGGGGAGGCATAACAGATCACTGTAGGTCGCGGTGCAAGGGCCAAGAAGGCCCACCCCTTATACATTCATTCATTATAATCTGCAAAATGAGTAGAGACTACAGCTTATAAATGCCAAATGAAATTTCTTTTGATTCGGAGGAACAGTCAAAGTCAACTATGATATACAACTGTAACTGAGGTAGGCAGTGTTTTACTGGTGGGGTAGAAAATAAGGCAATACATAACCACTATCAGCAATCCCTTTAATCACATGATCATACACAAATATCCACACAGAAGCAATAGCTACTAGGAGAATACAATTTCGTAACTTTTAGATGACTGATATTAAACACTGATAGTTATCTGTTAATAGGAACTGAAGGTTCAATGTTGCTAATAACAAAAATCCACCTTACAACATGATCCTAAACCAATTCACGTCAAATAACCTGTTATCCTAATTATATGTCATGGTCAGGGCTTGAAAGGGAGGTGGCCTTCTACCTAGTTCCAGAACTTTCTATTTTAGTACAAAACAGCTTCCTGATTTTCTGTGTTTCTCACAAAATAAATTCCCTAAATAATAAACAATGTGGGGAAAATGTGAGCTGCTGAAAACCAAAAATGTAGATTGTGTATAATGTACAAAAATCAAAGTAAAATTATAAACAGATGATATTTTGTGGGTTATCTTATTTATATATTTTTTAACAGATTATATAGCAGACTGTGGCTTACAAGGTACATGCAGCTCCTTTCAACTGTTAAGTGTGGTTCTCAGAAATAAATATCATTTTCTATACACAAATAGATAAAGTACAGTTCGGCTACATGTAAAGCCTTTATGCCATTCAGCTCCAGTTCGTCTCTGGTTCCTAAACCTATGACAGTCACATCAGCCTTCAAAGTTCAGTAAGTTATCCTTTCCTGTTACATACTGATGATGGATGGTCGATTGAATTAGACAGGGATAGGAAGGAAGAGGTCGTGGCCTACTCAAGGTGTTAACGCGGAATTTTTCCGGACAGACTGAGGAAAACAACGAAAAAATACTCAGTCGGAATAGGCAGTATAATGACCGAAATTCGAACCTTGCATTTCCCGAATACAAGGTTCGAGTATTAACGCTACGCCAACCTCCTCCGTGGCTACCTCTTGGCACATACACAAGTATTTTTAACAGTGACTATGTTTCCAGTGTACTACGTTGTGGTTAATATACATAGCATATCATGATGTGAATATAAACCGTTATGCAGAACTGCTTGTAAAATTCGACAAATCTGTCCGTCCATAATTTCATGCGCGGTTGCCAACTACAAGCCTTACGCTAGTATTAATGGTTGGTAAAGCGGAAATATTTTTGATTTCAGAAAACATATACTGAGACTGCATTATCGAGAGGCACTGTACTTGATGGTCTTTATTTTAAATTAACTTTTAACACCAAATGTCATCGTGACAACTGTTAATCGTAATGACATATAGCGTATATTTGCACAAATAACGATACACACACAATACTGCTACCGCCTGTGATTCAAACAGCAAAGTTTCTTCTTTATTCCTTTGTTCCAATAAAACACTGTACGGATTTGGTGGATTTATTTTCTCACATACACGAAAAGCTTTACCCATTGCCATGATTACTACAACTAGAGCAATCAGCCGGATCGGCCCACAAAAACAGCTAAAGCTTATGTGCTGCAATCTGTGTAAACGTAGTGGAACAACCCGGATCAGTGCGATCAGTGGTCCATCTGGCGAGCGAACTTGGCTATCAGCAGCACACCTTCTGCATCTCAATGCGAACATATGCACCGTTCCGCCATCTCCTCGTCGAGGTTAAACACTATAACACTATGGCCCACTGCGATACCTCGGCCGGTCATGTAATTACGTACAGTTATTCAAATTTATCACAGGGCTTCTTCCATTGTAGTCTTCCGGAATATGACACCGTGTACACATGGTTACCAACGTTTGCCAGGTGCCTGTTTCCACAACTTTCTTGGTAGAGCTGTTAAAAAAAAAAAAAAACAACTCCGTAGCTTCAGTCTCCACCGACCTAACGATCGCCGCACGTCGGTGAAGTTATTGCTAACTTCAGCAGATAGTGGGTGTCGTGTGGTCAGAATAACGAATGATGGCATGTCTCACATGTTGGGAGTGATCCTGAATGCTGACCAAAACTACATTTGATTTCTTCCTCTGTACACTCTCAACTGTAACTTACCATCTCCATCAAATGTTCAGATAAATAAGTTTAAAAAGAGAATACCTTAAAACACAATGTGAGATAACTGTCATAAAAAGCCACAGGCAACAATTTTATGTCACTCAGTAGCATTTCATGAATCAACAGTGGAATTTCAAAACAGCAGTAGCACCCTCATTGCTGTACATAAAACAGGACTGTCATAGACATAAAGGGAAACCAGGGGAAAAAAAAACTGTATATAAACAATTCTATATTTCATTAAACTCTTCTAACTTTTACAAATTGTTGATGTCATATCACAAAAGCATTATACATACAACAGACTCACACTATAGAACTTAAATAAAGGAAAGAAAACCTTGTATCCTTCTTTGCACAATCAATTTTGTAAGTACAAGAAACAAGGAGCTCATTCTTAAGGCAGATGTGTTTGTCATAGGAACCAACAGCTTTGGCATTTTTCATTCTACTTTTCACTTCTTCATGCACATAAACTCATATAAAAATTCAAGCCAGCAGTTTCCATTGAATTTGCACATGAATAATCTAGCACATTATCACTTCACAGACTGTGAAGATGCCAAAATTATAATGGCTACATTTACTGTTCTATAGGTTATCTACAGTGGATTACATCAGTTTATCATACATACAGTGAAAATGGAAATTATTTGGAAGTTTATTCACAAATGAAACTGGCAAATATGGCACATTTATACACATTTCTGAGTACACTTAACCTGAGAAATGAGAACAGAATTAAAAATTTGGAGGCAAAGGACACATCTACAAAAACAAAATTACAAGATAACTTAGGAACCAAGAGATATAAATGCTCTGGACTTACTAAAGGCATAAAAGCCAAAGAAATCGAGAGAGTACCGGATGTGAGAATGAAAGGAAGATAACTGGAACAATCAGTGTACCATCTGATGGATTAACTAGGAGATGTGAGGCAACAAGGAAACTAAAATGGGTTTACTTTGAAAATGTAGACACACACAAAACTGTGGAGCTATTCATACATAATTTTAAATGGAAATGACAAGAAATATGTTATTTTTAAATACATTATCCAGAATTATAACTTAAATTGCATAATATTATATTTAAGCATCCTGTTGCACTCTATACGATAAATGATATGAACTCCATCCCAAGTGCAAACAATATATTATATGTCCTTGATCTTGCTCTCCTTTATACTACACACATAGTAAAGAATAGCAGCGGCACGCACACAGGGAGACTACACAAAATAACACCTGTACAGTGCTGGAAACAAGAACTAGCCGCTGCAGCACTATAGACATAGGGTGAGCAACCCTGACAATTTTAAATTTTAAAATTTAGAGAAAAATTTTAAATGATTTTAAAATTAGAACTAAAGATTTTATAAGTGCTAACGTGTGTAACAAAAATAATCTATAAATCAGACAGATATCAACGAAGTAGATGTTGATAATAACAACGAAAGGAACAATGTGTTTTTAAATGTTAAATTTTAAACTAAGTGCAGTGTAACAGCAACGTGAGTGTATACACCTGATGATGGCCGTATGAGGCCGAAACATGTAGTGTAAAGGAGAGCAAGATCAAGGACATATAATATATTGTTTGCACTTGGGACGGAGATCATATCATTTATTACATTGCATAACTGCAGTAAAAGGGCATTCAACTTTCTTTTAGTAACATAAGTGCAACCAATTACCGATTATCTGGGTCAATAAAGAAGGAAGCAGCATGAATAACTGAAAGGTAATCTGGAATATCAAAATGCAAAAAACACAGCACTGCAACAGACACCAAGCACATTATCTGCCACAGTAAAACACTGATCTCTCCTCTTTCAAATCCATCTCAAATCCTACACATAATCTTCCAGTTTTTAAACCAATTATTACAATAATTACAGTCAATCATATGAAAGAGTAGTATTATATGAGAGCGAAAAGAGGCACCATACAGAATGTAATCATCTGGGGACCCAAGAACATTATGGACAATCATAGAAACACAGTAATTCCATGGTTTAATGAATGTAAGAATTTTTATGTGCTTCTGTGATTGTGTAAATTCCATCAAACTCTATTTTTTGCTAAAAGTGTCTTCTGCACCAGACAATAACAGACATGATATAAGTGGCTGCAGTTACTTTATTAGGATACACACATGGAAACAGAGAGATCCAATAAGGGAGGGAGAGTGCCTTGGCATGACCATGCCATAGGGACAAACTCTTCCACCAACTGGCCTCACCTGACATATGGCACAGTGAATACTGGTCCTCAGAATAACACAAGTGAGGTATCACCTGTGGCTCTCAAAAACAAAGAAGGCAAGACAAAGTTCATGCTCAATATAAAGTGGGGTCTGTGATAGTCTGTGCCTCAAGTTTTACCACACAAAATTGCATTTCTGAAGGCTGTCCAACACTACACTAAAAAAAGTGGAACATACAAATGTATGTTCTAAGACCAATGACATTGTTGTACTGGTATTTCTTAATAAAGCTAATTTCTTCTCGTATTTTGATGAAATAACAAAGTTTAAGGGTATGGATTTTTTAAAATGGTTGATGAAATATACAGAAGCATTCTTGAGGAGTAATTAAATATATGCCTCATTTGCATGTATTATGGGACAATGAAATAAGAATGAGTGCTTGCAGAAAATGCTCCAAGATTTCTGCAACACTCAGGAGAATGTTAGTAAACAAAAACTGGCCCTTAGAGTGGACACTTCAATTACAAATAAATATCCGATATTCTCCATTGCCTGGAGGGATGTTCTATACTCGCAAAGGCATTACAATCATTACTGTATTCAGTTCTTCAATAAAATATTCTGATGAAATAACAAGGTTTGGGGGCATAGAATTTACAAAATGGTTGATAAGATATGCAGAAGCATTCTTTGTACTTTGGTGTTTTATGAGGCACGAAAGAAAGAATGAATGAATGCAAGCAAAATCATCCTTTTGATGTGGGAAAATTCAATTACAACTATATCTCCGACACTTTCTGATGTGTAAAGAAACATTTTAGTCACACGCAGAGAAAAAAGTTCTGGTCTTGTGGCCTTAAAAAATCATGATTATGTAATGAGAAAGTGTGTTGTCTGCTAAGTACATACAGTGAGAAAAAGTTTCCACTTTCAAGGTTAAGTTACCTATGGATGCAGCCAATCAGGGAGATTTATTCCTTGAAAGAAGAAATACCAGCACTGACAAATATAATTCATCAAACTACAGTTTACTGCTTTTGTCTACAATAACCCACATGTTTCAATAAATAGTTTATCAATCCCTTCCCAAACGACATCTGAACACAACTTATTTCTGAGCATTATTACTGTTAGCCTCATAACAGCTTTTTACTACTGGTTTGTTTACCTGAATTTGATGGCACAGCTGAGGCAGATGAGATGCGCCGTGATTTCTTTTGTCCAACTGCTGACTTGCGCTTCTTTTTCTTCTTGCTGTTAGCACTGCTTGTTCTTTCTGCTGATACTTCTGGCTTACTGTCTTCAACATCTGATACCGAAGCTGAGCCTATCGGACTACCAACTGTCTTCCTGGTATCAGTGTCACTGGCTGCCACCATAGACACAACTGCATGACAGAATTTCCACTTGAGACTCGGTTTCCTGCGAACCTTGTCCTGACGAGAATGAGAAGAGGGTTCTGGCTGATGTGCTTTCCGTTGGTGATGCAAAGATTCAGACTTACTAACTGTTTCACGGACACATTTTGAGCCACCTGAATGTGCTACAGTTTTCCATTTCTGAAGTCTGCATTTCTGCTGCAACAGTTCCTTCATTTCAGCAAGATTAGTCTCCACTTCTTCCCCTGGAGATGTGTCATTACTGGAGTCTTTAGGTGCTCGTCTAATGCCATTATGTTGAGTGTCATGTTTCCTGAGAATGCAACACAAAATATATTACTTGCACTAATGGAAATTAAGATTAGCAGGTTTATGCTGGTGATGGGTATAAAACTTCGGTTTCACTCTGGGAAAAGAACAGACTGACATTGTCCAAGAAACAGATAATGACAAGAGTATTTGGATCTAAGAGGAAAGTAGTGTTGGTAAAAGCTGCATAATGAGCAGCTTCATAATTTGTATTTTTCGCCAAATAGTATTAGGGTGATCAGATGGGTTTGGAATGAGTCAGATAGGAAATGTATATAAAATGCGAACCTCGATGGGAAAAACAACTTGAGATACCTAGGTATAGATGAAAGGATAATATCAAGGGATTTTAACTGGAGGCTCCTTCAAAGGGTAGGGAATTTCTTGACTAGCTGAGTGACAATTAGTTTCATAAGAATGACTCTAATTATACTGCCTGATATGGAAAACAAATCTTGTTACTTTCATATTATTTGATTTCAATGCAGACTATAAGGACAAATTGTTGCAAGCAGAATTACATTAACAAAAGTTCCTTGGTTTTCTTTTAACAAGGCTTTATCACTACAGAACTTACTAAGTAATATGACATATTGAACAGCATAGGGGTCAAGCACTTGTGGCTAATTTTAAGCAGTTTTTGCCTAGAGAGCGAGAAAAGCACAGAAAACCTCAGTCAACAAAGGCAGCGTATGGCCCAGATCTGAACCTTGGCCCTCCAATATACAAAGCACGCTACACAACATATCAGATGCATATACATATGTGTATAACATAACATGTGATGTGTACCTGCCACTTTTCCTAACTCTTTCCATAACTTCATTTTTCTTGGTGTCCTCCCCTGCAGAGGTTTCTGAAACTGAAGCTCTATGCAGTCTGCGGGCTCCTCCTTGTTTCTTGTTAGGTTTTCTGCTTCTATCCACTGGGTCACATTTTTGTTTTTGAAGATTGGAAAGTTTCTGTGAGCAGGCCTGCAGAAGTGATCCCTCGGCTCCCCGGCCGCTCCAGTGTGTTGGAGCATTTGGCTCATGGCAGGTGCAAGGAATGCCTGTCCACAGTTTTGTTTGCAGGAGCGATCTTTGCTTAGTTTGAGTTACCTCAGTCACTGGTCGTGTACTGGTCAGCTTACGTGTTTGGTTCATACTGTGGAATTAAATCCCATTTATTTAAGTTATAATAATGCATAATAAGACACATGGCCCCCAACGAACTTTACTGAAGAACAGACATGCGGAAGTCTAGACTTTTCAAGATCAAAAGAAAAAATCCCTTTGATTCATAAGCTGATTTTGAGCCTCAAACTGAAAGATTTTTACAGTAACTGCTTCAGCCTTGTACAGTAGCCCACATGTTACCTGATTCATCAGAACTGTAATGGTGGATGATTTCAGCACTAATCAAGATCTGGTCATGGTGAAAAAGAACATGGCCCTAGAATTAACCTTCTTTAAATACAACGGTCTATGAAAAGTTTTAATTGTATAAGGTTCTGATTCCAAAAGTGAAAAGTAGTACATTCAGTGTATCGTAAAGAAGTGGTTAATGTTGCACACCGTGATTACGCTTAAACACTGGCCTAGAAGAGAAAATTATATTTCTTGCCTTGATTCTCAAAAATTTTTCAAATTGTCATCTTGAACTTGTCTGAAACTGAAATAGTCACTCTCACACATGCCTAGCGAGCACAAAAAATTTTCTTTTACACTAGTAAAAATTCTGCACCACAGTAAGATGTCTTTTTCTGGATTTCCCACATTTACATAATTCCAGCAGCAACTTTTAAGTTGAGTACACATGCACGGTAAGACTGAACATGGCAGACCCACAAATGTGGGGGTTACCAGGTAGGTATACCTAGGTATAGAAGTACATAAATTTAGAAAACACTTACTAGGCCAACCACCGTCTCATGGCAGTAAATCACAGGGACAACTTTACTATTTTACCTAGTGAAAGGAAAGTAGGTGATTAGTTCTTCCCAGAACTTCTTGTATTTGTATACAGTTCCAAAAGGCAGGATTCCTCAAATTCCATAATACCGCAACACTCTAATATATATGGTGACAGCAGGAGCCAAAATAGTTTTATAGCCTCTCTTCACCTACAGTAAGCTATAAAATATTTCAGTAGTCACAAAAAAATTTGCAAAATCTTTCACCAGTAGCAGATATGTTTTCTGAAAGCAGCAATATTAAAGCTCACTGACTTGCCAAACTATGCATGAATTGCACAGTTCTTGAGAACTTGGTGTCCCCACATAGAGCGTCAAGATCCCCTGGGTAGTCACGATGACCCACAGTTTGAGGAACCAAGACATAATGCACAATTACATGATGAACATACCCAAAAGACATTTGGGTTGATTTATGTCGTCGAATGTTCTCTGTCTGTTGATACTGAGGCTCCCTGGTGACAGCAACTTCAGCTTGCTTCTCTGGCATATCCTCACTCGCATCCATATTCATTACTTGAACTTGTGCCGAGGTCACAATCAGTTCCGGAGGCATATCACCACAAACAATGCACTTATCTGTTGACACTGTAAGAAAACATTAAGAAGCTTTATCTACAATCACCTGTGCTACTTGAAGACATACAGTGCTTTATATTTTGATGTTGGAATCTGGTAGTATCAGATGGTCCTGGTTTCTATTCCCATTGACATCTCAACGAAAATGTTTTGTGCACAAATTAAAACATTTACCTCTACTGAACTTTAGATTTAAGAAACGTAAAGAGCACCACCTGCTACTGCCTTAACATGGTGGAGAGGTTTGTGTGCACTGATGTGGAGAGCTATGCTAGTGGGGAAGTAAGCTTCTGGTAGAGAGGGTGAAGGACAAGGCTAAGATGATACCAACAGTTACTCACTGGTCCTCCAGGATGGTGGTTAGGTGTGAAGCTAACAATATTATCTTGAAAAAAGAATATATGTTAAGAAACCTAATGATGGATATCAGGGGGATAACTTATGGACTAAAGAAAGAAAGATTTAGAAGCGGAAAGTGAAGAAACAATGGAAAAGGAAAGTAAATAGGAGGAAAGGTTATGTGTTATAAAGGAAGTCAAGGTTCTTAAAGGACCACACAGCTAACAAGTTAACTACATAATCAAGTAAGTCAGTCAGTAAGAGAATACTACACCTCAACAATGTCTCAGGGCCCACACTAAGCTACAGGAACCCTCTGTCGAGCATACTGTTGCTACTGATCTAGAACAGGGAGTAGCAGAATAATTCATCACTGATTCTTCCACTTCAGAGTTCAGGAAGAGGCTATAACTGTATTTTCTACATAAATTTACATCCCCTGCATTTACTGACAGATATGTGGATCTCAAGTCATGACAACAGACAACTCAACCTGTGTAAATGCATCAAGCCATGTGGCCTGCAATAATATTGGAGCAAAGACAATTGCAAATTGGATAATCATTCATTTTAGGATTCTCAGTAAACTCAAAAACAATTTAGTATCACAGAAGTTATTATTTTGGGAACCAGACCTTTCTTAAATTGTCAATCCACTTACCCCTTCCAGGAGAAACATCAGCTTTTGTACGACTTCTACTACGATGACGCCACGATGAACTGCCATCTCCAGAATCTGTAGCCAGATCATCAAGGTCACTGCCAGGATCTGTTCCCAAGTCAATAGTAGCTCTATGTACCATAAGAGTGGGTCGAGTTCGCTGAGGTGAGGGACTCCAATCCAGAGCTGCTGGAGCAACTGATGCACGTTCTGGCTAATAGTGTGATCAAAATACAACTGAAACTCACACACTACAATTGTGCTAGAAATTCATTCCCTTATTTATTAAAGACATTTCATATTCATGAAATTTTAATTTAGTTCTGCTGTTATTTCTTTTATGGTTGTAAAGGGTTTAACCTTTAATCTCATGGAAACACATTCTTCTGTTAGTGTTACATCACACGGTCTATTCTTTGCTGCCTTGGGATAATATGAGTTATACAAAATCTAATTTACATATGTCCTGTGATAATGATGTTTTGACAATCTGGTTTATAATGTCCAGGATTTAATGTATGTGACATTTACAGGGGACATAATCATAAATATGTACAAATTCATGGATAAAAAAAACTGATTCCAACTAATTTTAGAACATTAAAAACTGAAGCTGAAATAAAGAAACTGTGTACACTACCATGTTCCCTGGTGGTATGCCAGTTTTCTGATGCTCTCTTCTAGGCGAAATAGGGGAAGAAGGTGGTACATGCAATGGTAAACAGCATTCTTCTGTTCCTGGTACACTCCCCATGCCAGCCCCTTCCTCTTCAGATGAACTGCTTGTGTCACCCACATCACTGCCAAAACACAGGTGTCATTTTTCAGCTAATCTGGTGAAGTAATGTATCTTAGTGTACTGGAATTCCAAGGTGCTATCAGATGAAAGGAAGCGTTAATGTGTCTTACAGACAACTGTAAGGGAATTAAAGGACAATATTAAACTTAATCACAGTGAAACTGATCACGAGGATGTGACCTCACTGTAATTGTGGACTTGGTATTAATATTCTTAAACTTCTGGTTTATATAGCCTGTTATCAGGTGCAGTGCATATAAGGAATATACATTACAATAGCACCAAAACTTCAAACCACAGTCAAATATAAATCTGAATAGAAATTTCTGCTGGGATGTGATGCTGCAGTCTGCTTGATTTTTAGTTTATCCTTTGGCCCTGAATGGAGGCAGTGAATTTCTCAGAAATGTCAGTGAACTTCAACCAGACTATAGAGTGTCACAACCCGGAAGACTGTACTGTTCATAGTCACCCTTGTGAGAACCTGAAATCAAACGCAAAGATCTGTCTGTAGATCTGCAGCTGATCTTATTTGTTTTTTTTTTCAAGGAGAGCTGAAAGTGATTCACCTCCTTCAGTAACTGCGATTTTTGAGCAAAATGACTGCTATTTGTAGATATTTTAAAATACACATTCTACATTATTCTACTACTTGTACGAAGGGCGTTCCATACATAATGCCTCCTATTTTTTTGTGTTAATATGTAATGTCTGAACTGGATGTTGGTGGTGTAGTAAAGGTTGAACCTTCCCACCAATGTACTGTTAGTTTGGTTGTCATGCGACAGATAGCGACAGCAGAGCAGTCTATCAAAATAGCGTCTGACATAGAAGTGCGTAAGAAACAGAGATGTGTTATTGAATTTCTCACTGCCAAACAAACTGCACCCATTGACATCCATCGACGCTTGCTAAAGGTGTATGGAGACGATACAGTGAATGTCAGCACAGTGAGGCAGTGGGTAGTGCGTTTCAACAGTGGCGAAAGTGAAGTGCACAACAAGCCACGCCCTGGGCATCCCTGCTCAGCTGCCACTCCTCACAATGAACAGCACCTCGATCAGCTCATCCGTACAGATCAGCAGATAACAACCAGGGAACTGTGTGCACGGCTTAATATCGGCTGTAATGCATTGGAAATGATGTTGGGGAAGCTGGATTATGGCAAAGTTTGTTCCAGGTGGGTCCCGCAGATGCTTACACAGGACCACAAAACTCATCGAATGGAAGTCTGTCAGGACCTGTTGCACCAGTTTGAGGCTGAAGGTGACAAGTTTCTGGACAGCATCGTCACCGAAGATGAGACTTGGTGTCACCACTATGAGCTGGAATCCAAAACACAGTCCATGGAATGGCGACATCCGGATTCCCCAAGAAAAAAGTTCAAGACCCAGCCATCGGCAGGGAAAGTGATGTGCATGGTCTTTTGGGATAGGTGGGGTGTGATTTTGTTGGATTTCCTGGAGCCTGGTGAGAGTGTCAATTGTGAACGCTACAAGATGACACTGACTAAGCTGAAAGCCCGCATTTCCCTAGTCAGGCCAGAGAAGCAGACAACCTTTCGCTTGCAACACGACAATGCTAGACCCCATACCAGTTTGGTGACCACCCCACACATTGCAAAGTTTGGCTGGACTGTCCTACCATATCCACCTTATAGCCCCGATTTAGCACCTTCAGACTTCCATCTCTTTGGGCCTATGAAAGACGGACTATGTGGGCAACATTTTCCAGACAATGATGCTGTCATTGCAGCTGTAAGAAAGTGGCTAGCCTCTGCTGGCGCAGACTTTTACGGGCATGGCATACAGGCTCTTGTTCATCACTGGCAAAAGTGTATAACGAATGGTGGTGATTATGTGGAAAAATGACTGTAAGTAGCTGCAATCTTGCTCTATTTAACTGTGTTATTATGCTTTCTGTATCTGTTGTAGTTTTCATTAAAAAAGAAATANCTGAATTCATCCTACACTCGATGACAAATATCTTGCGTCACTGAGTTCACCGCAGCTGTGATACAGTTTCTTAGGTCATTCAAATTTGTGGGAAGAGGTGGTACACGCCACACAGTTGTTTGCGATAGTCCAAGTTCTCTACTAGCACTACGGGTTGACTTCATTGGGCTGCGCTCAAAGTTCACTCGAATGCACTCCACGTTCTCCTCCGATACACGCGATCAGCCCGGGACGCAGTGATGGAGGGCACTAGCAGTAGTACTAGAAACTTTGTAACATCCTCTTTCAAATGTACTTTACAGAATTCAAATGCAACATACAGTTCAGGAAATATAGTCAATTGAAATTGTGTCCATATTTCTGAATCACTCTGTACATGCAATAGTTTTGTAAATGTAAAACTTTGTACATTATTGGTTAAATTCTACTTAATCTATATTTCATATATATTTTATGTGTTTCGTCCATATGAGGCCATTATCAGGCATACACAATCATAAAACTGCTAAACTACACTATATCACTTCATTGTGTATGAAATATAAACTCTACAAATTTAAGTTTCTTAGTTCTTAAAATCAAGCTGGTGCTAGTTAAAACACACACTAATAACCAGAAACATATATTAAGTAATGTTTAACCAGTAACCTACGAAGTGTTCTATTTACAAGACTGTATGACACATACATATCAAATGACAAACTAATGCAATAGGCTGCTCAAATGTCATATTATCCTAAATCTGCCTGCTTAAATCACATAAACATGGCATATACAAGCTGATTATGGGAAGAGAATGCCACATTTCTGATATGTAATATAATGGTATCCAGCCACTAAGACATGCTATTTTGTCTCTGGAATATGGAAAGGATGTAAACACATCCTCTGTGAGTCATCTATTCACAGCAAACTACATTATGGAGTTCATATTCACAGTTCTTCAATACTCTGCTAAGATTTATAAAATTGGAACCAGATCTCTGCTGGCAAGTTTAATATGCAATGTATGTAAACCTGATGAATGCCAACCTCCTCATCTATTGGGAACTGACATCTGTATCCAGGTCACATTTTCTTTTCACTGGAGGAAAAGCTTCACTCTCATACTAAACAAGCGAAGCAAGCCTTCCAGTGGTATATTACCATATAGCATTAGCACACTGAGTTCATAAAACACAATAATAGGCTGTAATATTCTGGAAGTGGTAACTCTGGATTTTCTACATACTCCTGTGTTTATGGTATCAAATACATTAAGCCTCTTACACATGACGCCACCATGGTTGCGCCACCAGGGTGGTGCAGCTGTATCAGCGAATAACTTTAAATGAAACCTTTCACATGTGGTGGCTGTGGCACCTCTGGAAGCGCTGCCATATGGCTGGTGGCAGAAGGACGCAATTTCTCGAGCCACCAGGTTGGCAGCGCCACCACCTCAGTCCATTGTATTATATGAAGGTCTTCACACGAGACGCGACTGTGAGTGCGGCCAGACGTTTCTGCATTGTGTTCTGTGAAGTATGTTGTGCCTTCAAACTCAGTGCTAAAATGAGTATGCTGTCCCTCATAGTGGTGTCCACACCAGTCAGTTTTTCTTTCATACACTGTAGCAGCTCATCAAAAGATGCAATGCTCATGCGCACAAGAATGAAAAATTTGTCGGGATTCTGTCGAAGGTCACTGTACAATGTGTACAAAATACCTTCCGTTGATCAGTCTTTTAAGATTGGGTGTACCCTAAATCTCCGTTTTTACGGCGTTTACGCAAACAGGAGAACAAAAAGATTAAAGCGCCTGCCTCTTCCAACTCCATTTTGAGACTGATCCTTGACTGGTGGCAAGAAAAAATATCCTTGCTGCCCGGAAAAGTGCCACCAAAATTCGTGGTGGCGCGACCATGGTGGCGTCATGTGTAAGAGGCCTTAGGCAATTAGTTACATGCTGATCACAGTGGCTGCGCAGTCTAAGCCAATAAATGTTTTGCCTGCTCAAAGACTGGGATGGGTTCGAATTCCACTCAAGGCATGTCTGTCTGTGTTTATTCTGTGTTTGTGGATCCATTCCTATGGCAGCACGCATTGGTTGTGGAGATTGGTTGTAGAGGAGGCCAAGGCTCACCCAGGGCTGTAGCACCGAGTGGTAGGTAGGTAGAATTGGGATGGAAGACAGAACAGGATGATCCTGGGTGTCTAAGGGTTTAGTATATTAACCTAGTATGCAAAAGGTCCTGGGTTTTATCCCAATGGCCAACAATTCATTATAGTAACTTATTTTGTAATCTGGTGCATTATTTCAAATTTAAGTGTTCACCTTTGACTAGTATGCCTGTATACTAATATGAAAAATGCAAATATTCATGCCACAGATACCAACGCAGTAGTTCCTTGTTGAGTGTGTTCATGCAGTGAAGTTTTATGGTCTGCCTGAGTAAAGAATTTTCTACAGGAAACCAATTTTAACAAATGCTGTTCTGTTTGATATTGAGAATCAGTTACAAATGTTAAATTCACTGTTATAGCAATACAATTTACCTGGAATAGTCTGAGAGGTTGATATTTGTCGGTTCATCAGCACTGGACCCTTCTTGAACCAGTCTGTTAATAATCTTACAACGAAGTCTCTCCTACAGATGCATGAATGTATGGCCTGCACATTACATAGAACTAAATTTGTATACAATTAAATTTTAATTAGATTTGAAATCTGTCACATTAAACTTCTACATATATTTACTATGGTAGGATAACTAACACTTTGATTACTGGTGTCTAAAAAATATGTGTAAATCAACTCCTCACTATTAACCCTATGCACATCATAAACTAATTCTTACATTAAAACTGCCACATCTGAAGAGTTGAGCTTCATATTAATCACTTAGTACAACATTTCTGTCAAGAGATGGCACCCAGTGTGATATACCAATGTTTGAGAACAGAAAAAAATATGTCTAAAAAATATGTGTAAATCAACTCCTCACTATTAACCCTATGCACATCATAAACTAATTCTTACATTAAAACTGCCACATCTGAAGAGTTGAGCTTCATATTAATCACTTAGTACAACATTTCTGTCAAGAGATGGCACCCAGTGTGATATACCAATGTTTGAGAACAGAACTGGCTTTCACACCATCAATACCTGTGGCTGTTTGAATGTAATGTGAGAAGTCCTCTAGGTTTTTCTGTGCAACTACAATTACACAAAAGCACTCTTGATGGGGCAAGCATGGCAGGGCTTGGCAGTCAAAGGACTAACGTGGGGAAGAACACCAAATACAGGTCAAGACAGTTGAGACTCATAATATATCTGGCAAAGAAGGCACTTGATATACTTTGATAAGGTCTCTTCAAAAAATTCTTGAAATGAGGGTGTGCAGCAGCAGTGCATTGGTCATGTCAGTTGTTGTTTCAGTGATCTTGTAACCTAACCATTAGTTATGTAAGCCATTTTGTTCCAAGTGGATCTGATGTTCCATTTTGTCTTTTTAACTAGTTTTGTGATCAAATGTGTTGTCTCTTAGCATTCAGTATGTAGTAGATAAAGGAGCAAAGAATTTGTGTTAAATTCTGTTTCAAAGTAGGGGAAAACAGCTACAGAAACACATAACATGTTGCATGAAGCTCATGGTGATGATGCCTTGAGTCAAACAACAACCTACAAACAGTTCAAACGTTTTAAAAATGGAAGAACATTAATGGATGATGATGATTAGTCTGGTCAACATTCAACTTCAAGATCCGAACATCCGACTACCCAGGTGAAAAATGTTAATCATAGAAAGCAATGACTGGAATATCCACTGGTTCATGCCACACAGTTTTAACAGAAGATTTAGGAATGTATCAGGTCTCAGAAAAATTTGTGCCAAAAATCTTGACTGATCAGAAACCGCAGTGATTTTACATCTGTGAAAATCTCCTCCAAAGAGCAAATGATGGAGATCTTTTGAAAAATGTCATTACTGGTGGTGAGATGTGGGTTTATGGTTATGATGTTGAAACCAGACAACACTAGAAGAGTCCTGCTCCGCCTCGCCCCAAGAAAGAATGACAGGTGTGCTTGCAAGTGAAAGCAATGCTGCTTGTTTTTCTATCATCAAGCATTATGCATTATGAATACACCCCTGAAGGTCAGATAGTTCATCAAGATTTTTGTCTGGATGTTCTGAGATGTCTGCAGGATGCGGTACGAAGAAAGCGAGCTGAAATGTGGGAAGCTGGATACTCCATCACAATAATGCGCCTACTCACACAGCACTGTCAATTAGACAATTCTTGGCAAAACATTCAATTCCTACTCTTCCACAACACCCCATTTCACCTGACCTATCCCCTCCAAATTTTTTTTCATTCCAGATACTCAAAATTCCCTTTAACAGAAGATTTCAGACAGCAGAAGACTTCATAAATAATGCGATGAATGACTTAAAAGGAGATACCAGAAACATCTTTTGAACAGTGCTTCCAAAAGTGCAAAAGATAGTTGAAGAGGTGCATTACTGCACAAGGGGACTATTTTGAAGGGGATAATATTCAATAGGTTCTAAGTTAAGAAATATATTAATTACAGACAAATTTCGGGAACTTTCTGAACACACCTCATATGTACCAAAATTAAATGGTAAATTGTTTTACATCCTTATGCTGAGAGAGAAATTCCTTGCCAGGCATATTTGAGCAGCACAGTTTTACTGTCTGTCAGTCATGATATGCCTATTTTATTGAAGTAACTAGACATCCCAAACCCTAAACATGTTTCTAAATATATGTACCAAAACTTGCTTCAGAACACAACACTTTTCTGATAAATGTTAAGTGGGTGAAAACGAGTCTCTTACCAACAAAATGGATCCAGTAGGGAAGCAGAGATAAAGAGAGAGTAGATTTGTAAAATAATTACATTCTCACCAACAAATAAAACAGAGTTCAGTGAATTTCCTTTCACACTAACTAATATAAGGATAACAACATATTTCTAGTTTAAGATGGAAGTACCAACTGTATGCTTATGCTCTGACAAAATGAACTTCCATGGTATTTAATACTGAGAGTCCTTACATAATTTATCAATGAAACTGAACAATTGAATACTGACAAGTCCTAAAATAAAAGCATTTTTTAACACTGACTATATCTTATACATTTTCTAAAAAATGATTATGAATAGTAGTAATGAACAGCATTGTCCATTTGGTTATGATGCGACAAATTAATGTAGAAGTTAAATTAAGAAAAAGGAGGGAATATTGTTGGATTATAGTCTTATTAATCTTTCCACAGATGAATTCAGCAGATAAATTACAGAAATTAAAGCACATTCTTAAAATTCAAGATACTGCAATTATCCTTATCTCTTTTAACTGAAATCTATCTGCTTGTTCAAATGCAGAAGGATAAATCAGCCCTAAAATTATTCTCTTAAAAGAATACAATTTTATTCTTGACTAGGTTCATCCTGGTCTGTCACACTAGCAATATTATGAAAGGTTATTAACACTGTCCAGTGTGATTGATAGATATTTTTTCTTTTAATCATTCATCTTTTACATGTTTCGGTCAGCGCGACCATCTTCAGGACATATCAATACATGCGGAAACTACTACGAGTATTACAGTGTGATTGGTCATTATCAATAAATACAGACACCACTATTGCAATGTCATGAATATAAAATATTATCCCTTAACAATTACAGCAATGTGAATGAATTTATTAAAATATTTATGAATTATTATGGTTAGTCTCTTCACAAGTATGGTTTAGAAAACTTTGTTAAAATCTAGAACCAATTTGGTTCGTACCCTTCATACTGCTTCTCTTCACAGATCTGTAAATGTATGAAGCAAGGTCTCTATCCACCGGACGTCTCTGAAACTACGCCATCATTTAATCTTGAATCATAATTCCAGTTTATCTCTCATGAAGTTTTCCATAATTTTTCTTTGACATTCAGTCATATGACTTCAAATGCTCTTCCACTCCAAAAAAAAAAACATTTCCCTACACTTTTCACAAATGTATGGGATCATATGTATTAAAACACAGTTTCAATTTACAGGTTTTCCAACCTTGCCCTCCAAATTAAATTTTTTATATTGAGCTATGTTCAACATTGTAACTATGGACACAAATAAACAAGCTTTTTGTCAAACAGATCTTCTCACCTTGCTTGGATCTTCATCACAGAAATCAAGGAGTGTCTCACAGAAATGGCGTCCCATCTGCTCATAGTCCTGTATAGTAAAGTGTGTGCCAGCACGTCCTCCAACATCTGACCCTCCAAATGATGCTTCCATTGTGTAACTGTTTGCAACACCCATCATCCACACAACCACTCGACCTGTACCTTCTTTACAGCGTTGTATTCTAAATTTACAGTTCTCAAATGAGAACTAAAATAAATAAATAAAAACTATTAGACCAATAATGACCATGTTCCTAAAGGAACATCATACTTAATCGAAAGAGATTGCTTTTAAGTCAAAATATGGACACATTGTGAAACAATTATCCTTGACATAAAACAATGCAATACCTTGTCAGCAGCATTCTTGTGCAACATCAGCGGGAACACCTGTTCTTGAAGGCGGCGATCTAGAGATCGCCGAGTTTCACACCCATAAATAAAGATATTGTGTTTGCGTGAATGGGCATGCAGGTCACAGTACATCTCAATTCCACATTCTTCCATTAACCTGTGATGAAATAAACATGCAGCTGACAGTCGAAGCAATGCTTTGGGAGGAACATGAATCTAAGCATTACTTTCAACATCTCTTTACTGTGTATGACACCAGTTTTACCCTTTCATTTCACACCAGTGTGAAATTTGATTTCTCTGATGAGGTTTACTTGGGGAGTCTGAGAATAAGGTGATAAGGAGAATAAATGGACTGAAGACATGTAAGCTAACAAAGAAGATGGGAAAAATGTGCATCTACCATAAACTTCTGTTCTCATTCTACAGTTTCTTTACAGCAATTAAACCAAGAAGGCTGAGGCATAAACATGCAAGGGAAAACAAGGACTGCAAAAATTATACAGTGAAAAAATGTCAGAAGAAATATCCCAAGAGTCCCATATGAAAAATATAAAAATTGACCACAGAGATGTTACCGTGAAGAGGCCAGCTGAACTGAACTGAACTTGCTTTTGAGTTCCAGTGACACTGATTTGCAAATACAACCACAATAAACAATGAATAAATTCTCGATCACACAGATTACTGCTGTAGGAAGACCCTGTACTGATTGTGTACACAGAAAATCTCCATGTCTTAAACAGCATTTCTCTAAGTAGTGTAGTGGAAAAGGACCCCTGATGGGGTATGAACATCTACGATCAAAAATTTTATAACAGCACCACTAACTACAGCATAATTTTAACGCCTACAGTTTGAAGTCCGTATATCAGGATTTTGTAACACCCAAAAGATGTGGCCTCCAAGTAGTAATTTCCATTAGATTTGGTGTAACGGCACAAATAAGAACTGTGAATCAACAAACAGCTCAGTTCCTGGATGTCAAATTACTGGGCCACCCTTTTCCCCAGGGTCACCAATAAGGATGGCCCATCCCCAAGTCCTCATTGGTCAAGTCAGTGAATCCAGCTGCACAGGATTTAGGGTTGGTATGACTATACCATAGTTCGGACAGTGAGGTGTTGTCTTCTCAGTACAAAGGTTCAGGTTCAGTCCTAGATGACTCCATACAGAATCTGTTGTGCATAAAGTGACACTGAAGCAGTGTTCTCTTTGGGTTTCCCTCATCATCATCATCCCTTCATTGCCCTATACTCATCTATCATCACCCTCTGAGGTGTGTAATAGGGGGCTATACATCCAAAGAGCCATATACATATATACTTTTATGACTGAGTGCTTAATTAATTTCTTACTGAATTTACCTGCGGATCATCAGCTTTGTGTGCCACACAGGCGGGTAAGTTTCCCTGATGACAGTGCGGTATTGTCTGTTCAAATCACGTCCTGTCAGAGAACAGCGGTTATTGCCAACTATCACTCCGTCAGGGTTCAACATTGGCACCAGCTTGAAGATGAACTTGTCCCGCAGCTCCTAACAGCAATGGAACATGATCTAGAGAACAGGTTGGAGAGAAGTTTCATAGCTACTGACTGACACTAAGTATACTGTACTTTGGAGTTTGGTGATTTAGTATTTATCTGCCATCTGTGAGTCTTGAATATCTGAGACTGAACGGAGAGAAAAAAATCAATTTTGATTTGAATGACATTTTCTCACTCTTTAACTTCAAAAATTTTCTGGTAACTGCTTCTGCTTTCTGCAGCCATAGGCAAATTACTCAATAAAAATGGTTCACAATGTCAGCTTGTCAACAAAATCTCTCTTTCTTCCTTTCTTATTTCTGCATGTGGTGTCTGATACTGAAAGAGACAAGCAGTATACTTCTGTGGACAGTGAAATGCAGCTAGTTATAAATTGTAATTGCAGTGAAAAAATTTATCTGGTAGATAAAATTCTTGTTCTCGTCTCGGTTCTCTATAAATATTTTAAAATTCTCTTCTCAAAATAAAAGTCCTTTCTTGCACATGAATAGCATACATACACATCCATATGGTGAAAAAAGTAAAAGGTACAGCACTCTATGCTTAATTAAACACCATACCATAAAGATGTACAGGCGAGTCAACATATAGTTCAACACATTATTCACTTCGGCACTTGATAGGCATAAGTGGCCAACTTCACACTGGAGAAGATATCTTTTGCCCATGCCAGAAATCAAACTCAAATTCCTTGGGTGTCCAGATTATAGCCTGTCACAATATCAGCCTAACTGTCCAAGTTCCACATATCAATAAGGTCCAATCATTATTTTTATGAAAATTTACCTTTGACTTGTTCCCCCCCCCACTTTTGAATGAAAATCAGGATTATGGTATATCACCATGGCTGTGAGCATGCATCTCTGTCCATCCTCGATCCTCGACTCTTCAATATCTTTAAATCATATGACAGATTTTCATCAATGTCATGCTAGCAGAAATCACCCACCCTTACAGTTTCTAATGCCCTGTCATGGATGCTGTGTGAACTTCTGAGGCTAGACTTATGCCAAGGAAGATAGGATTGGAGTGGAAAGTGCAGTTTGAATTTTGTGACTTCAGTCATGACTAGTTGAGCGATTATTAGCATCTCAAGAAGGGTTCTGCTCCATGTAGTTAGTTACACATGATTCTTAAAAAAGATGTTAAAGCTCAAATGCAATTGTGGGAACATTCCACATACTATATGCTGTTTCGCCGATCAACGGACAACACTCACTCCTAAGTCAATAGCACATTGCTCTCAGCTCTCATATTTATACAGCACCCACTTTCCAGCTCACTTTTCACCATCATGCGAGCTAACCAATCACATTGCTGCCACCACTAATATTTATACAGCACTAGATGCCCAGCTCACTCATAATCATTACACGCACTAGCCAATCAGCGCTCACAATTGCAACTGCAAATTTCGTTCCTCCATCAAGAATTGTATAAAAGGCGGAGCCCAAAGCTTGCAATTGTCAGTGACCACATCAGCCAGTCAGCCATCACACCTAGTCCAGAGCGATTGGTCTTCGGAGTCATCGGCACTTCACTGCATCAGGGATGGCTGCCTCGGCTCTCCGGAGGTCATGCCCGACTCACTGAGCAACTGGCGCACTCCAGCGACCACGCTCCGTGACCAGACGTCTTCCAGCAACCACGCTCTGCAACCAGGCAACTTCCGGCAACTGCCGCACTGCGACCAGGCAACTTCCAACAGCTGCCGCACTGCAGCCACAACATTAGCCAACACACCGTAGCCAACATCTATTTCTACTGGCGCACACAGCCCTACATCACCGGCCAGACAGGCCTACTAGCAAGGAACAAACGGCCCTTTTCAGGGCCCACAAACTTTCCAAAGTGGTCGTCTATTGGAGTATGGACAAACCCACACAATATATGACTCACCTGATTCATATTGCTTGGTAGGAATAGATTTTCAGAGGTTGTGTGTTGAAAATAAATGACAAATTCAATGATCAGTTCGAAGCTGCATGAGAAAACCTATGTTCATACAAATTCACACATCTATATTACAAAATGTTATCATGACTAATTTTATTGAGTTATTTTACAAATCTGTTAGTCTCTTAGATTGCATAGCATCAAATAGGTAGGATGACTGTTGAATACTGAACTATCAAGGATTTAAGGAAGGAAGCAGTTATGACATAACTGAGGCAGTATCTTGGCATTTGCCCAGACGGACTGCAAGAAACCTAAAAAAACTCAGAACAGTTCGTGTCGGAGCTTTTGAACTGAGCACCTCCCAAATGCAAGTCTACAGCACTGCCTCTAGACAAACCCATTCAGTCTCATGCCTAATGCAGTACAAAGAGCTTCTCGATTAACAGGTCTGATAGTGTTAGAATACAATAAATTTAAATAGTGTAAAATGATTAATAAAAATATGAGTTCACTCACTCTTGCCTGTAAGCTATCTCCTGTAAGGAAATCCATGAAACCTTTCATCATCCATGAAGCAGGAGTCTCACCAGGGTGGACACGGGCTGTGACAACTATTGCCTTCTTCTTCTGTGTAATCAATAATAAAGAGAAAATCATGCCAGCTGCAATATACAGGTTTACAAATAAACAATTGCTTATTCCAGAAGAAGTTCTAGCGTCTGTCTTCATGAGAGAAAAGAAAATGGCATAGCGACAGATGATTAAAAAATCTGACAATGAACACCAAGCAGTTACTTCATGAAAAACAGCTGTCTTGCCCAAATACTACAAAATGGCATTTGAACTCAACATTGCTTGGCAAGGGTTCACTGACTGAAATGCCTAGAACACTGCCAAGATGACCGTGTTTATAAGAATAACACTTAGGGTGCCCACACACCACCTGTGTCAAGACAAGCATCAAGACATGAGACAAAAGACGCAGTTTTGCTTCATTTGTGATTGGTCGGCATGAAGCTGACATCAGCATCATGACTGAGACCAGTGTGCAGCAGTTTTCATAATCTCATTCGTTTCAATTGTGCTCCTTTCTTTGCGTCATGTCACAGACATCATATCTTGACGAATGCCGGTGTGCGGCCTACCTTATAAAGAGACAGCCTGTTTAAAACACTGGTATGATTCATAGACATCTTTGATCTTGGTGATAAATAATATCCAAGACTGACTCAGGGGCAATTGATTTGCCCTGTTCATAGCAGCACAGAGACGAACAAACCAAATGAATCATATGCAATCTGGTTCAATATTTCATTTTTATAGGTGAAATGATTGGAAATTAATGTAACAAGCACAGAGTCATGATGATAACACAGGATTAGGAAATAGATGAAAGAGACTGAATAATGGAGAAGATAACAAAAGATGAGGAGGAAAGAATATGTAGAAGAAGAAAGCAGAGGAAAGCGAACGTTGTGGCAGTGATGGATGAGGAACCTTATACTACAAACAGTAAAGCAAGTCAATGTATCCACTGAAGGCTAACGAAGAGCCCACAAAGGTGTCTTGCAGATCTATAGAGAGCAGCCAACTCTTCAAAGCCTTTTCAATACCAATATGGGTCATCACATGAATATTGAGAGCCAATATTTTGTACTAGACTAACGTCATACTGAATATATATACAAGGTGGCCCGAAGCTCAATCAACTGGTTAGTAAAATGTATGCTAAAAAACATCAGGATTTCTTCCTTACTTACTGAATTAAAAAAAAAGGTCTGAAATTAGATCCTCCATGTTCAGTGCACAACTCACAATGCTGTGATACCGTTCTACGAATTGACTGGCAGGTTTAAATCTGAGGTAAAGGTCAAGTTGTCCCTGTGCTCACTAATTAAGCACTGTGCCATGAAGGCGTATGGGGGAGTTCATGTACAGACGCACATTTTCTTGACCTTAGCACTAGCTTGAGGTGTGGTCAGCTTCACGCCCCAGCTGCTTTACCTCAGGGGAGACTCTATGGTACCCATTTGATAGGAGGTTGGGTAGGCCCCAGAGCCAGTCTGGATGACATGGAGAAGGGAAAATTCTTGACCCTACCGGGACTCGAACTCCAGCCCCTCATACATCCAGCCTGTAGCCAGTCGCTACACCAACTTTGCTATCCCAGCTCTCTTAGGTTATACCTGAACATTCTCATTAATATGTGAGAGAGTTTCAGGCTAACTGACTTTTGCGCCACTCAGTATGTGAAGGATTATTACATATAAATTACAAAGAAATGTAAATGGATTTCTTTATAATCTGATTATCTTCCATTCCATTTTATGCCTGTTAATAGGATTTCAAGCTGCTCTTTATTCCAAGGCAGGAGAGTTCTGTTAAATATGCTGCAAGGGTACAAAAGCGCTTAACAAGTGCAGGAAATTAAGTGAGGCACATTAACCCCCCACCCTTGTAAGTACATTACCTTAGTTCTCATGGATTCATCTCAACACTTCCCAATTAAAACTTGCAGTGTCCATACATAAATTCATAAGAAGAGTGAATGGTGCAAAGGTTATCAGTACTGCATAAATCAATGTTCTTTAGCCATGTTTCAACACAACACAAGTTGCAAGATGCTTGCTGCTTGGTTTATTTAAAATGAATATAGTAGAATGATTAGAATTAGCCAGGATGGTGTTCCCCAGGGATGGAATTACTGATGACAATTTCTGCATTCAAATTGGAATGTGAAACCGAGACAAACTTGTTTTAGAATGCAGATTTTTGCTTAACAATACTGTATAAATTGCAGAGGTCATAGCACTACTGAATGGCAGATTTATTACGAATGGTAACTTTGGGGAGATGTATCAGAAAATCCTTTATGGTAATATCCTGAAAACTGGCCAGAGAGTTCATGAAAATATCCCAGTAAAGCCAGCTAATTTCCCAGCCAAGATTTGAACTAGGTATCAAACAAACATTAGGAAAGTAATCCACCACTAAGCCCCAACTGTTCTGTGAAACTGGATAAATACAATATTCGAATACTTGTTGTCTTCCATTACCTTGGCTTCATCTTGAAGTGACGGTGCTGTCACTGTCAGGTAGTATACATTGTTCCCTGCCAGTGAGCGACAAAGGAGGCGAAGCTTACTGTAAGTTGACTTCACTGGATGGTTCTACAAGAAAACACACACTCCTCTTCTAGAACTATTCACACTTTATTTGTCACATTAATCATGTTTATTATCCTATGCAGAAAGCCAAACACATTAAAACCTCCAAACAATCAATTTCTGAGAACCAAAATTTTTAGACTTCCATCATTTGGGTTCAATGGAAGAAAATTATTGAATCACTGAGTATCTATGGCTGCTGCTGAGAGAATATCCCATAACAGAAAGTTAGCTGATGTTGATCAGTCTTTGGGTGAAGGCACCATGCACAAGCAGACTGTACTACTGCACTTCAGAGATCCTTACTCTTCCCATCTACAAGGCGAGCTGAGTGTTCCATGGGTATAATTTGAAATTGAGAAGTTGTGGGTCTGGAATGGGGTCCACTCAGCCTCGTGAGGATAACTGAGGAGCTATTTCAATGAAATATCTGCTCCAGTATAGAAAACCAAGATTAACGGCCGTAGGAGTCCGTTACGCTGACCACGTGACACCCTCTATCCAGTAAAGTTGGCACTAACTTCGCCAGCAAGCGGCGGTTGCTCGGTCGGTATAGTTCGCTTGCGGACTACAGGCCACAGAGTTTGTTTGTTTTGTTTTGTAGCCTACATAATGATATTGTACTTTGCCACCAAACATATTTTCTTTTATTTAATACATATATGCCTATATATACATCTACTGAAGTTTGACAATGAGATCTCAAAAAAAGAAAGAGTTGGTTATCAGGGAATTATAATCTGTTTCACATAGAGCGTAATCTGTATAAATACTCTTGGAGGGTTTATTTACTAGAAGATGCAAACCCCAGGGAGAAGAGGGACCTTATCAGATACAGCAAGCTGACCCAAATAACCGAATAAAGGTCTAGTGACCAACAGGGAGCCAAAGGGGATATAGAGAACTGGGACACCTTCTCTGGAGGATATACACACGTAGTGACCTGACCCAAATGAATAAGGGGAAAGACCTTAAGAAGAAACCTAAAACCAACAAATGGGGCTTAGATATCTGAGACAGCAGCCTTGTCACTGACCTCACTGAGAGCTCGCCAGTACCTTCATTACAGAAATTTAATGACTTAGAATATGAATTGTACAGACAACAGTACCTAAGAAACGGAAAAAAAAAATACAGTGGACCCTGATTTAATGCTTCTTGACTTAAGATCCTACCTCATTTATGTTCAATTTCAATGACCCATTATCACTACTCTCAATTTTAAATTTTATCCACTTAATGCACTCCTCAGTTTGGTGTTTAAACTGACACTACCGAAGGAAACCCCAACTGGCAGTTTCACTGTATGCTGTGATGTACCTTGTCACTATGTATATCCTATGTACCTGAAGCTGACCGAGGTAATCCTGCAGATCAGTGTATGTGTACGGGTAGCAGTGTGCCAGGTACACTTGATCATTGTCATGGGGAAATTCAATATTGAAAGTTAAAGTGTAACTAGGAAGCTGGTCCTCTTCACCAGGCCTGCAAAACACAAATGTCGATGTTTGTTCACATTGCTTATAACAAGAACAACTGTCCAAAACAAAATTCTGTGAAACTAAAACATAAAGTTGGAGAGTTTAACTGGAATTCCAACATTCTAGTTGTGTAAAAATATGATAGTACCAGTAAGGAGCAGATGATTATAAATGTTTAGCAGCGAGCTACTCTCATGAACCTGTCCGTTTTAGTTGCGCACATTACCTTCATATGCATTAGTTTTTGCCAGTAGCATCCAAAGACTGTGTTACAGTTTATATTCTTAATACCAAACTGCAATGAATAAGTTACAATATTGAAACTCAACAGATTAATTATCATACTTGCATAACATTGCATCTGCAACCCATGTCTACAAATACTCGTAGGAGATACAGGGTTAGTGGCCAGATTTTTAATTTGGGGATAATAGTTCATCACCAAGGCACAGGGCATTTTAAATTTCCTTGTAAATTAAGTGAAAATGTGGGGCAGATAGTTTTATTGGAGACAGAGTCTATGACTTAATTGACAGGTTAACTAAGGTAAGTATGGCTAGGCAGCTGGTAATATGTTTCAGAAATATTTCCATGTGGGTATACATCAGCGATATATTACAAAGAATTAATTGGGTGCTTCTAACGACAGTTGCAGGAAACATAACTGTGTAGATCTAGGCTGTGTATACTAGTTTGGCAGCTGATGCAACTGTTTTGCCAACTGAATATTTCATTCGATAGTAATTTTAACAGCATCAGTTTCATCATCATCTTCTCATAAGGGTCAACTGTATATTTTCTATACCAAAGTACACTGAGGTGGTTTCAGTATAATGTGTTAATGTATAAGCTCTTCACATATTGAATCTCTTATTTGTTTTGGTTAGTGTTTACCTTCTTGTACAACTGAGGATATTAATAACTGAAGGTAACAGAATTACTGTGATTTACTTCTTCTATGCTGTATTACTGTGTATGAACATGGTTCCACGATAATTATGAAAATCTGACTCTCATATTTGTACACTGATAACAAAGATAACAGTCTCTGAAATGTTATGTTTTTTAAATAAAAACAGGACGATGAATATTGTCCAGAAACACAATAATTGTATTGTATTATTTTCACAGACTCTTAGATTTTATTCAAGTAACGTTTGTTTGTTTCATCACACCGAAAAAGTATAACATTTGTGTACGTTGCCATATCTTTCTGTAATCATTGTGAGTCACTTAAATCATGACCTCCAACCAATGGAAATAAAAAAGATTTTTCTATTCTTGGCATCCAGACTGGCTTTGGGGCTCCCCAGCCTCCTATCCAATGGGTATAGAGGGCTCTTTCCATGAGTGCAAAGTGGTTGGAGGGTGAAGCTGACCACTCACTTCCAACTAGTGCCAAGGTAAAGAAAATGTGGATCTATACATGCACTCCTCCATAAGTCTTTATGGCATAGTGCTTAATTAGTTAAGCACAGGGACTTTACCTTTACTAAGGCAATGGAAGCCATATTTTACCTGGAGGATAACAGTATTAGTATTGAAAAAGGGCAATGCTTGGTCAGCTGAACCATGTGTAAGCACAGCTGCAATAAAACAACACACAGCCATCAAAGGTCAACTACAACAGATATACAAATACAAAATAAAATATTACTTCAGAGATAAAGAAACTCCTTGATGACAGAACAGGCTAGAAGGCTAAAGAAAAATTATTTGCTCACTTACAATGCATCGTTCCTATAGTATGCAATATTGCCTCCACATCTTCTCCAACCAATGCCATTCAACTGAACATCTTTAGATGAGTAAAGCAATGGTCTCATGCCAACGCTATACAAACTCTCTGCTTTGCACATGTTCACAAAAGAAAATCTGGGGGGAAAAACACATAAAACAATTTTACACCATTATTCACACAAAATTCCAAAATTCACACTCACCTTTCTCCCCTAAACACCTTGCAGTAAAATGAAATGGTATGTCATGTACTGGTGTACTTCATCAAGATACTGACAACACCACAATTTGGTGTAATTCTGAGGTATAAAGATCTGACTGAACTGGGCAAGGTCAATACTGGGAAGTAAACAACAGGTCTCCATGCCGAGTAGCCAGCATCAAACTTCAGATCACTGGACATATTACATACATACTTAAACCAAGAAAAACGTTCTTGAAGCAGTAACTTATTTCAGAAACAAGACAAATATTGAACTGAACTTAAAGTGGTAAGTTGTGTTTGATCACTCTCCGAACCAAAATTAATGGAACATACTCAAAACAAATCAAAGGAACAAAGAAATGGCAAGTTTAAAATTTGACTGCAATTATTTGTATGCAGCATATAACAGCAATGCTTCCTAGCCAACTGTTTCTACATAGCACAGGCTGTAAAATTGGCCAGACTCACAGACTACAAAATATTTCTTGGCACTCAAAACAAGGGAATATTGAATAGCTAGAAACTGCCTCTTACCTATAAAGCACATGCCTTTTTGTATTTTCAACTCGGAAGTAATACCACTGCATGTGTCTATTGGTATACATGTCTGTGCGAAGATACAGTTCGTAATAGTTGTCTGTTATCTTCACAACCTTGGCAAGATTCCCAGATTCAAAGCGGGATTCAAACCGCAGACCATCTACTTTATCACCACATGGGCATGAATCCAGGAAGTATTTACTGCCTCCAACACTTGAGCGGCTAAACTTGAAAACAAGTATACAAAGTGTCAGAATGTCACACAAAATATATTTACTTTCTGGAAAACAATTCCATAAAATGAAAAAGGACTCACAATTAAACACTCTGAAAGGCCAACCATGGAATTTTGCCGGGACACTGGCAGGAGGGAAAGTACACATGAATGTACATATAGGTGCATGTGCAGACATGCACATACAATTTCCTTCTGTGTGTAGAAAATATGGTTTTTGATGCACATATATCAAGAAACTTCAGTATTAATTTTCTTGACACTGTAAATGCATCAAATTTGTAGAATTATGTAAACGGGTAGATTACATTGTCCGATAAAAGTATCACTCTGGGTTTATTGGTAAAAGGTAACACTATCCTTGTAACAGGCTGTGAAGGCCAATAGGGTTGAGAGATGTTGAGGCTCCCACATTTTCTAGACAATTGGCTCATGATGACGGTGAGGTTGTCAGCCTTATGCACTGGCTGGACACTGTGGAGAAGAAATAATTTACTGTCCCTGCCAGGAATCAAACTCTGGCCATCCACCATGTAGCTACACTGATTGAGCTATCCAGATCACAGTCTTAGATATTACAGAAATTAAATTATAAAACACTAAATTTGAACTCTCAATACATACAAGGAAGTTCAGGAAAATAAGTTGTGGCTATTTTTTCAAAAAATTATTTTAAGAGCTGCACATATTAACAACCTATAATATGTCAAAGTAATCTCCCTCCAATCATTTACCATGTTCTCAACACTTCAAGCATTGCTCAAAACAGTTTTTAAAATCCTGAACAGGAATGTCTGCCCTCAATGTCTGAGAAATGCTTTCTCTCAGCACACTCTCAGGTTTTGGAAACACCCAGATGTTAGCTACAGCCAAGTTAGGAGAGTACGTTGGATGATCCATGGCAGAAATGCCGTTTCATGCTAAAAACTTAGACACTTGAAGTGATGTATGTGCTTTCGCATTGTAGTTAAGAAGCAATGAGTGATCTCGCCACAACTCTCACTTGCGCCTCTTGGCCACGGTATTCTTTTTCAACACCTCCACACTGAATGTCTACTAAAAGTGGTCCCTTTGGGTACAAATTCTACATCCCTGATATCTAAAAAGCAGATCAGCATTGTTTTGATCTTGGACTTCAACATCTGTGGTTTCTTTGGCCTGGGGATTCACCACAGACTGTTTTTAACATCTCTTAATGTTCAACTTGGCAATTTCTGCAGTTTAACTCAAAAATTCATATTCACTCTCTGTTCCATCATACACTCCATTTTCATGCCTGGACAAAGTTGACAACACACAGTCATCTAATGAGCTATTGTTCAATAGTGAATGTAGCTTATTCAGACTTTTCATGTGAGCTCTGCCTTGTTGCATCTCCTAACATTCCACGTAACAGTGTTGTCAGATAACATGGCACAAAACAAAAAATAAATAAATAAAATAAAAAACTGTACGATCTTGTGTATAACCTTACAACCTCAATTAGTGGAATGTGCTTCATTTGCTATGTGGATAAAGTACTTACATAGTTGACAGCACTGACAGGGTAGTACTGAAATACAACTTGACCTGCCTCTTCTCCCACTGGCTTCGGTTGTACTTCACGACCAGTAGGTTGATAATACTCTTCTGGTGTTGATAATGTGGTGTCTACATGCTTCACCCGTTCTTCTAGGACCTGTGTATAATGCGTCTTTATTGCGGACTTCACATAATACTGAAATATGGCTTAATTGTAATCTTACTACTACATCCTCTAATATGATCTCATGGTCCCACATACCTGGCACTCTGCAGGCCACCGAGCTGCTTGCTGGGGACAATCCAATTCTTTGGGCAAGGCAAACAGATCTCTTGGTTCCTTTAATTTTGCTATTGGTCTCAGTGTTCTATTGTCTGTGTTGATTTCCACTTGGTTTGTCTTAATTGTATTCTGCAGGAAACTGCTCAGATAGCTACCTGTGGGCATAAAACAAGAATGCCATGCTACCACAGAAATAATATATTTCTGCATGTGCACAAACTAACGGGCACTTCCCCTTTCCAGATTGAAGGGTTGATGTACAGTACAGCAAACTCCTGGTTGTCCAGTATCCAAATATCTTTGATTCTCATCCAACTGGCAAAAATTTCAAAGAAATTTTACTATTTGTATAAATTTATTCAAAAACAAATTTTACATGTGGCAGTTCTTCCAACCACCACTAGCAGCACTAGCCATTGTCCACCCTCATGCAGGTACCATTACAGGGGAGGTTAGATGAATCTGTGGTTGCATTACAGTATATGTTTCCAAAATCTTTTGTCCATCGATCCACTGTCATTCAGGAAAACTCATAGGCAAGAACTAAAGCAAGAACATGTTGTTCCAACTCTGTATTGTGTGTCTGTAAGAAACTCTCTTGTAATTGGTCGGTCTGGATGACTTGGAGACGAGAAAATTCTTGACCCCACTGGGACTTGAACTCCGGCCCCTCGGTTGTCCAGCCCATAGTCAGTCAGTATACTGACTGTGCTATCCTGGCTCCTTGGTTTTAAAAATACAGAAATAAAACAGCCATACACACACACACAAATGTAATAACTCAATAACTTTTCAATTACTACAAAATCATTAAATAGCCTACAACTCTACCAGCTCTTCAGTAATTAAGCAGTATGTTTCCTTCCCTAAAACCTCTCTTTGGATTTAATTTCTTCAGTATTACAGCATTCCCAATATTTTAATACAAGAGGAAAATCTGAGTGCTACAGCTCTTATGACAGCTAAGTAGCTAGAAATCTTAGATGTTAACAATACACACACTGCTACTGTCTTCTTGGATTCATCTGTGAATGAAGATCACTTCAACTACTGCTGCAGTAGTGTCTGTAAAGAAGTACATTCAAAACTTCATACACTTTAAGTGGTCTGAAGGCCTTCTTCATTGATTGGATCAAAATAAAGTTTATGCAGCACACGCAATGCTGCTATCATTCACACAGCCCTGTAACTGACTGAAACAAGGATACTGACAGCTTGACTGACAGGGTGTTTATAAGTAAACAAATCAACTTGCAAATGCTTGCAGACTGGGTAGTTATATCTGTTTTACACTTACTACTTACAAGGCTGTTCATGTGGTTGAAATGCAACACAGAATTACCCAGTAACTCTTTGTGTTATACACCATCAAAACTCTTTTAGAACTGACTGGAATGGAGGTTTGATAATTTAGGTCTCTCAAGAAATACTATTATAAACTCCAGTTCATGAAATCTTAAGACACTAAAAAATCAACCTGATTCTCAGAATTTTAATAAATTGTGTTGCACTGATAGGAACCAAAAAAAAAAAATCGTCCAACTTTTAATCTAAACTTCCTACAACAAGGGTAACTTGTAACTTGTAACTAAATCAGTTCACTAGCTACAAAAATTAAACATATGGATAGATACATAAAAACTAAATTCAAAATATGCTGGCATAATTTGTTTATAAAACACCATTAAATATGGATAATTACGTTGTTTGCTTAGCTTTCAACAACACAAGGGCATGACAGTTTGCAATAATCATTTCTCAAGAAACAATTTTAACTGAAATATAGGTTTCTCAATTTATTCTGCAATTAGACTTTGTAATAATAAATTCTAAAAATCAGTACTCCATTTTGTATAGAATACTGTTTGGCAGGTGATTAACATGAAGCCCTAAAGACATCTGGTCATTATCTGAGTCGCACTGCACATCGTCTAAAATTTCTGTAACATCCCTAGGTTCCAGAGTGAATAATAACATTAATAATAAAAGAGTGAAATAGCATTGCCAAAAACAGAAGTTATATTAGCTATGAAGAATGTTACACTTTTATTCTCCAACAACTTTTGTAACACCAATGAACATCTCACTCACTTATTGTGCACACAGGAACACAAACAAAATGGAATTTCCCCCCTTCTAACAATAAGGGTATGATCTAGAAAATTAACATCTGGTTACAAAGAATTTAATTACTTTAGTTGTTTTAATAAAAAATTTGGTTACCNGTGCACACAGGAACACAAACAAAATGGAATTTCCCCCCTTCTAACAGTAAGGGTATGATCTAGAAACATCTTTTAACAAAATGATACTACAATTACTGCAAAGTCAGGCTTTCAATGTCATTTTAAACAGTGAGAGCTGAGAATTCAGTATCTTCTTTCTCTGATAACAACTAGGAAGCTCAGTAAATTCTAATTATTCATGTGGCCACAAAAAAGGGCGGTATGGGAAACACAGAGAAGCAAAATGACTTAATGTATGCATACCATCAAGCAGATACTGGACAGAAGATACTGAGGCCAGTATAAGCAGTAAGTTGTCTAACCATGAACACACAAGGAAGAAAAATATTTTACTTCATCAATCACAAATTACATTCTTACCAGTTACATGCCACTAACCCTTGCTATAAACTATTAATTACTTAAAACAGTATGATATAGTAAGAAATATTTCTTAGTTAGTCACTTTTCATGGTGTAAATAATAACACTTATCTTCCATTAAAACATTATATGTATTAATGTTTTGTATGAAGTTATGTTAATTTAATTCAGAGTTGCATTATCAACTGAATACCCCAACTGGACTCAGATCTGACCTTTGGCACACACAGGGAAGAGAGCTGCTTGGAGTTCCTTCACTACACCTGTTTCCATTCCTGTCACAACTACATGTCTGTGTGACTGATCAATTCCACCCTCCACCCATGCACCTGCCACATGCAACCACTAGCAGTCAACTTATAGATTAAACATCACCACCAGAGGCAAAGGGTGGAGATTCTGACACAGGACCCAGAATAAAACTGCCAGCTGCCTGCTAAATCTATCTATATTTCTAGAAGGAAGTTCTTTTATTACTGTTAGCTGAAAACAGAGTAAATAATTAAACATACAATAAGAAAATAGACTGAGATTCATATAAATAAAGAAAATCAAACAATTAATCACTCTAAATCCATTAAAAATAAAATTCTGTGTTCAATATTCTGTACTGTAAGCTGTATGTAATTAATTTACAATAATACTGTATCACTGTGACTATACTCCACATAGTGCATAACAGAAACCAAAACTGGTGATATCTATGGAAGATATTAATATGTATCTTAAAGAAACAGATTTGAAGGTGTGGACTGCATTCATCTGGATTGTGATGGAGGCCTGAAGCAGGATCTTGTGAGAACAGCAAAGAGATTTTAGGTATCATAAAAGGTAGAAAGTAAAAGTAAGTAAAGTAAAGCTATCCCTCTAACAGACCGTGAAGGCCCATAGGGTTGTAAGACATTGAGGGTCCCACATTATCTAGACAATCGGCTCAAAGATAGCAGTAAGGTTGACAGCCTTATGCACCGGCCGCGCTTTACTCCCCAGGAAAATTATTTACTTAATTCCTGGTACTCATTTCTGTTAGAGGCTGAGTGTCATAGTGTGGCCAGAAGGATTAGGTCAATTGAAAAAATCCAATGACCTCGTCGGGATTTGAAGCCGTGACCTTCCGACTTGTAGCATAGTGCCTTACCCACTATGCTACCGCGTGCCCCTCATATAAGGTAGAAAACTTCATTCAATGAAGGACTTTTAGCTTCAAATGACTCTCTGCTCCCTGGATTTACTTATAAATATTAATACCTCTTTTAATCTCTTGTACATTTCTGTACTGAAATTTCATGTCAGAAGTTACATTAACTTCCAAACAACTATATGCGAGAAATGCTAAACTCTTAAATATTCTACACAAAATAAAAACACAGAATCTTTCACATATAACACAGTTACACATACAAACTCACAACTTTTCCTTATATTTTCTCTGACTCTGGGGCTTCATTCTCAGCAGGGGCAAGAACTTTTCTTTTCACTGCCCTCTCTGCACCAGACGTGACACACACCTAACCTCCTAGCCAATATGCAACAGGATCTCTTTCCCCAGTGGTACAACGGCTAGGGCATGAGTCTAACCCTCACCTTCATCTGGTGCCAAGGTTAACAATGTCTAGAACTGCATTTGCACTTCCCCATTAATTTTCATAGTGTGGCATTTCATCAAAGGGACCATTTTACCTTTTTTTTTACATAAATGCAGAAAGTATCCCTTCTATTATAGCCTATTATCAATTTTATCCTTTGCTTACATTCTTAAACTTACCTGCAACTATACCAGACAGTCTGGACATGGGGATGGGTTTCACAAATACAAAACTGACCACAGGGCAGTCGGATGGCATGTAGCATCAGCAGCCACAACTCATGCAATAGCAATCAGTATATCTATTGAACACATGAAACCAGTCACTAACCAATGAACTCATGAGAAAATACAACATCTATCATAAAGAAACCAGCCAAGCTGTAAAGCCTTCATATCCTGTCTATGACTCAGTTTTTCGTGGTTCTTTTCAATCAACACAGGCAGAGTTTTCCAAGCCTGTAAAGGTTAAACAAAAGACCACATCTCATTCTTAAAATAGTTTAAGTAGCCAAGTTGCATTCTAAACAGATATTTTTCATGGTTTTCCATATAACTTCAGTAGGTAAATATCTGTTTGGAAGAATTTATTGGAAACCGATTATTTAGTAGATAAAGAGGGAAATAGATATTAAGAAAACAAGCTTGAGCAATGTGGGCTATATTCAATTAACTTAAGGCGGAGGAAGGAAGATAAATATAGCTATCTTTCTAGTTTCAATTTATGTACAGGCAGGTACACATGATGAATATAAATCAGTGGAAAATTGGACAAATGGATTGGTGGATGGATAAACAAATAAGAACAGATAGAGAATCAGAGAGACAGACCTAAAGAGATGGAGAGATGGGATAAAATATATGAATAGTCAGATAGACATATTTAAATAAATAAAGGCAAGATTTTGTACTGACAACTGACAATTCAGATTCTTTTATTTTAATTAGATAAGCTCCTCTTGTAAGCTATGAATTTTGCTACCTTTATGGAACAAACTGCATTGTAGCTTATGGTACAAATCTGAAGTAACCTATCCTAGTCTGAATGAAATCTGTGGGAAACTTTTCCTGAGGTCATTACCATTTAATTCAAACAAAGCCCTTGGTTCAGGGCTTTATCACTTGACTTGCCCTCCTGGCGTCACCTGGTACCATCAGCTTTCAAAAATTCCAACCAATGTATTGATTTTACTCATTCACCAACCCTCTTTCCAACCACCCCCTCTTTTACCAACTATAATCTGTCCTTCAACATATACTGACTCTAATGAAAACATAGAACCCTGTGAACTGTCACGCATGCAATCAGCTCCATAACATAAACTTGCATTTGGAGAAGTGGTACAGTTTCCTATAGGAACTTGCAGGAACCATACTCTAAAGAACTGGGATAGCTGTCATTTAGTGACTATGCTACATTCCAGGCAACCAAGGAACTGGGTTTGATTCCTGGTAGGGGTACAAGATTTTCCATTCTCCACTGTGTCCATGACCAGTCTGATGCCAACCCACCCTTCCATCCAGTGTGTGGCAGAGCATCTGTTGCCAGGGTTAAAGTGGCCAGAGTGTGACCGTGGCCATTCACCTACTGCTGGGCAGCAGGTGAATGGGCACAACTACACTTCCACTCCCTCACATATGAACATGGTAAGGTAAAGCTATTCCTGAGTTTTAATTAATTAAGCACAAGGCCATGAAGGTGCATGGGGGAGTGTTGGTATAGCTCCACCATTCTTAACTTTGGCACTAAATGGAGGTGTGTGGTCAACTTCATGCCCATGCTGCTTTTCCCATGGGGATACTGCCCCTGGCACCCATTGTACAGGAGGCTTGGATGGACCTCAGAGCCAGTCTGGATGTTATGAAGAGCAGAACAATCTCCTGCCCTGCCTGGAATTCAACCTGACTCTTCTGACAACCAGCACACAGCCTAGTCACTATACCGACTGAGCTAACCCAGCTCCTATATGAGTATGGTGTGATGCTTGCTTCATTACATACATGGCCAAGGTTACTTTTTAGCTGTGTGTTCATACTGTTTATATCGATGGTGCTTCCTGTGTAACATAGTCATGCTCTGAAGCTTTGTTGCTTCCCATTGTTTTGAATGTTTATTCACAAATGAAATTACTGATAATGTACATGTTACATTACTCACTAGCAGGTGCAGGGAAGGAGAATATATATCTAGTTTACTGCAAAATTAAATACCAGAGATACATCAATTATTTTTTCTGAAGTTCTGGAACATCCAAGCCAGGGCCATACTAAAGTGTCCAAATCACCCTGAAATGTATGGTTAGAAGACGTCCCTGTACTTAATTAAGTGCCATGCCAGGAAGACGTATGGGCGAACAGAGGTATAGGCTCCAATATTCGCCTTGGGACTAGATGGAGGAGAGTAGCCACTTTTATGCCTCGGCTGCTTTACCCCCAGGGGAAAGAGCCCCTGATACCCACTGGACAGAGGACTAGATGGGCCTTAGATCCAGTATGGAATCTATGGAAAGGAGAAAAATCTCTTGCCCCTGTCGCAAATCTAACTCCTGCCGTTCAGCCCATAGCCTAGTTACTATACCAACTGAGCTATGAAATGTTCCTTCTTCAGACAGAAGTGACTCAGAACAGCAAAAACTGATGATGAAACAGGCAGCATAAATGATTTATAGAGCTACATAATTATAAAATAAATTTACTTTCTAACACCTTCTCAGTTCCTGAGACTGTAGCAAATTTCAGTTTCTCTAGATAGCCATACAAGCAAAAAACAGTCAGTTGCCCCAGTACTTAATCAAGCACAACACCATTAATACATGAAGGTATAGCTCCACATATTATCAAGATAGGCACCAGATGGACATAAGTGATTAGCTTCACTCTCTGACCAAGTGGAGAAAGAGCCCTCGGTACCTATGGGGGAGGAGACTGGGCTCCAGAGCCAGTCTGGATACAGTGACAAAGATAAGAATACTTGCCACTAGCCAGGAAATAACCCCAGCCATCCCCCATCCATAGCTTAGTTATTAGACTGTCTCAACAGCACAGGTAAAAGGCAAAACTGTTACTGCATTTCATTAAGCATCACATCATGAGGACAAATAGGAGAGTGGTTGAATAGCTCAATGCATTCTTAACTTTGGCATCATGTGGTGGTGAGTGGTCAGCTTTGCACCTTGGCCACTTTAGCCTGGAGGAAAGAGCTCTCCAAATATCCCAATATTCATTATAGGTAGAATTCTGTGTAGAACTCAGACATATTGCTGAAGAGAAAAATCACAGCCCACGCTGTGAACAGAACACGATTCTCCATCTAGTATATATCCCTCTCACTACATTGAGTCAGAACAAGTATTTTTAATGACACTCAAGGAACTAAGATTTGTATTCATATGTTTTATTTATTATTGCTGTTCTCATACATTTTAAAATGAAGATTACTACATTTCTGGGCTAGAAAACGGAGACTAACGGCCGTAGGGATATGTTACGGTGACCACGCGACACCCTCTATCTGCTAAAGTTGGCACTAACTTAGCCGACAAGTGGCGGTCGCTCAGTCAGTATAATTCGCTTGCGGACTAAAACTACATAGTTTGGTTTGTTTTTGATTACATTATTTTGATCCTGCATGGCACTTGTCTCCCCCTCCCCCAGGCAGGCAAAGTCTGAAAGTAAATGTCCACCTCACTACACAAAAATACAACAATGTACAGACTGTATAGACAGTTGAGCTGCCTGGATTGAATTAAGTAAAAAAGAGTTAAATAGGACTCATTATCACAGATGTGATATAAGCACTACAGTTAACTTTCAACAATTTAAATTTTTCGATGGATCGGTTACCTCAAAAACTCGTTTTAATAATGGCCTAATAGGTAATGTTTATTATTTTAAAATAACTGATATTAGTAGTCTCCAATGCTGCGCCCATTTTCCTTTGAAAGAAGCCCCAAACTTAGTAAATTATGTTATATAATAATATAAATACAGCATTGCATTTAATCATAAAGTTTTATTATTGATGTGCCAGACATATTATTACGATTAACCATCATACTTTGGAATCTAAATCAAGCATTTCTAATCAGGAAGAGAATTGTGTTTACAAACAATATGATGACATGTCCGGGAGACACTATAGAATTCTTGGCTTCCATTACTTACTTATTCTTTTTTTTTATTGCTAGTGGGGTGGGACTAAGTCCCTTGTACTGCGGCCACTTCTGGCCTACTGTACCAGCCCCAGATGATAGGTGAGGGTGACTGTGGAGCAATGAAGATTGGCAGGGGAAACCAAAGTACTCGGAGAAAACCTGACCCAGCGCCACTTTGTCCACTACAAATCCCACTTGACCATACCAGGAACCGAACCTGGGCCGCCGCGGTGGGAAGCCAGTGACTAACCGCATGAGCTATGGAGCGGCCCACTTATTTACTCATCTGAGCCCTTCTTGAGGAGCAGCCAATTCTACAGCCACTCAAGAATTTCCCAGCATTTTATGGAAGCTGAAGGTTCATTACTGTGTTCACAAGAGCCTTCCATTGGTCACTATCCAGAGCCACATCAGTCCAATCCATACCATCCCATCCTATCTCTCTAAGATCCATTTTAATATTGTTCACCCACCTACGCCTTGGTCTTCTCAGTGGTATTCTTGGCTTCCATGGATTTCTGAACCAGTGTTAAGTACATTTATAATACAATGGTTAATAACGTACTAACACGCCACAAAAAGCATGGAATTAAGAACCAGCTTACAAATTGAATCCCCTATATATGACACATACGCTTAAATGTTTGTACACAGTATGCTATCTATCCAATTGTTTTAAATTAGCCGAGTCAATAGATATGATTTAATATATTTCATTATAAAAAATCATTCACATATCACATAGATGGTCACTAGCCTCCTCTTTAAAATCATTATTACACTTATTTTGAAAACTACATTATTTGCCAATAATTTCCAGAACCTGTCAAAATCAAAACTGAAATGCAGACTAGGTAACTATCATGATTTCCTTTCTATAGTGCACAATAATAAAGTTTGCAACATAATGAACAAAATATATTCCACACAATTTAACTGTATAATTATACAGTTTGAATTTGAATTTATTTACATCCCATAAATCCAAGTACAGGTTTACACCATTGGATATGGAACAAGTCAAGTACAAATACATAATATCTGTGCAATTATAGTTTTGCTTGAGAAGTTAATAAGATTATAATAGAGTGTTAATATGACCATGCTAACTGGTTACATACAGCACAGTCTGCAAATAAGCAAAGTGATATAGTAACATGCTTGAGAATACACTTTAGCTCAGAATTAATACCAGTTACTGTTTTATATTGAACTATTTATCTATGGAGTAGTGGGAGTGAGTAAGTAAGTAACGTTTCAATGCTGTGTTAAATTGCTTAATATTGCCAGTTGCCTTTTTGGGACTTTGAGGGAGGCTATTCAACACTTTGATGTCGAAGTAGTTACCTCCTTTTTGATATAGAGATGGAGTCACTGTAAGCTGAAATTGAGTTTTTGTCTTGTATTTATGTTATGGGTGTCAGCAGAATTTAAATTGTATATGCTTTCGTTGTCTACCACAAATAACAGGAGTGACAGTATGTATTGTGTGCGAAAGGGTAATATTTTTACCAGTTTAAAAAAATCTCTGCAAAAATCACTATTCTTGAATAGTCTAGTGGCCAGAGTTCCTGGCTACAGATCCAGAGGTCCCAGGTTAGATTCCCGGTGTTACCAGATTTTCTGAGAAGTAGTGTGTCTGAAATGGGGTGCACTCAGCCTTGTGATGATAACTGAGGAGCTATTTGAAGGAAATAGTGGCTCCGGCCTAGAAAACCGAAATTAATGGCAGTGGGTATCTGCTGCGCTGACCACATGACACCTCGTATGCTTAAGTTGGCACTAACTTCGCCAACAACCGGTGGTCGCTCAGTCGGTATAGTTCGCTTGCAGACTATGGGCCAAGGAGTTTTTTGTTTGTTTGTGATAATTCTAATTGTCCTATTTTTTTTTATTTTGAAGATTTTAGTGCTATCTGCAGAGTTTCCCCAGAATATTATACCATATGGCATAGGGGAGTGACAGTAGGAATAGTAAACCATTTTCATTACTCCCTTACTTACACAATGCCAGATGAAAGTTCACGTATTTTCCAATCAATTAATTTTTTTATTAGGATTATTTTTGTGCAATGAGTGATGTTTTTATGATACAGTCTGAATGTCATACACATTCCCCCAAGAAACTTAATATGGAACTCTGTAGTAAACCAACCGTCCTCATGCAGTGCTCAGTGAGACATATTTCAGACCAGCACACACCCGTCATTAAAATAAGCAATTTCATTCTACCCATGACCCCTATACATGTGCCTGAAATAATCTGACTGTCACATTTGTATACAAATTATGTTCATTAGCCTGAGTTCCACATGCAGGCAGGGGGGTTATGATGAAATGAATAAATCCTCTTGTATTGTTGCATAACACTGAAAAATGAGCTGAGAACGAGTGGCAAAATGTTGCCATTCTTCGGTATGTGCAAATTTCATTTATCTTAATGTTCAACGGTGATGTATATCTATTACTGCACCAGTCAATGAAGGCAAAAACCTCCCTTAGAACATCAATGACAATTTCTGGTGGTGTTATTGTTATCACTGTCCATTGGTCTGTCTGTCTGTTTGTCCCACCACCTCTCAAACAGAATCATTTAACTTTTTGAGCTTACATTTTTCAATATCTAACTTTTATTCCTGCTTACTGACAGTTCCTCCATAATTTCTGCAGGCACAGAGACAGAGGTCAATATTAGTCAGTCCCTCTGAAAGATTCAGACATCAAATGTACTTGAATTCTGTGCTCTATCAAGATGTGACAGCTGGACTGTTTCCGGTTATGTCCACTGATAAATGTTGCAATGTGGGAATAGTGTACTCTTGCCAATTCAGTTTCAGATGTGGCAAAAGTTTCCATCCCAATTATCATTAGAAGTTTCATGAAAACTGCAGTTCCAAACTGTTGATTTGAAAATATCGCCTCTCCGTACTTTTGCATTGACACCTCCTACTGATTTTATAATGTGAAGTGGCCAAATGCACACTCCATTAGTTGCTCAGACAACGTAAATATAGGCCTATTCATAATGCAGAGCCAGGATAGCATAGTTGGTACAGCGACTAGCTACAGGCTGGACAACTGAGGGGTCAGAGTTCAAGTCCCTGTAGAGTCAAGAATTTTATTTTCTTCACATCATCCAGACCGGCTCTGGGGCCCTTCCACCTTCCTACCCAGTGGTACCAGGAGCTCTTCCCCCAGGGTTAAAGCAGCATGAGCGTGAAGCTGACCACTTACCTCCAGCTAGTGCCAGGGTCAAGAAAATGTGGATATATATATCTCCACTCCCTTATACGCCTTCATGGCGTAGTGCTTAATTAGTTAAGCACAGGGATAACTTTAATTACTTTACTATTCATACTGGAGTGGAATCTTCATGTTAAGAAGTTGTTCTGCAAATAATTATATACTTCTTACATGCAACGTATATACTCCCCACAAATTTGTGATGTTATTGAAAAGCAAACTGAGAGAAGAATTAGTCAAAATGAGATAAATGTATCATAAATTTCTCCTTATCAAAAGGGAAAAATGAAGACCAGGTAATGTCTTGAAGAAAAGTATTTTTCATTCACAATGAAATACTGACTTAAACATATTATTGCCTAAGCCTCTAAAGTTGTTTCTTCTTCTTCTTCTTAGAAGTTACATTTGGTGACAACCCCCTTTACCCTAACACCACAAAATGGCAAAAAAAAAATCTTTCCACCACAAATCAACACTGATTTCATGGACAACACAGCTTAAACATGGTGCTGAGTTCTTCTTAGAATGTCATCAGTTCCTCAACTACACAAGAATTTCCCAACACATTATGGAACCTGACGGTTCATTCCTATGTCCATAAGAGCCCACAAGTGGTCCCTATCCTGGTGCAGATCCTTCCTTTTCATAAGTCATTCAAAAGCGTTCGTCCAAGTCCAGGGTCTGTGGTCATTACAAAGTGCTCCCTTTGGGTTTATGTAACATAAAACAGAGTTTCATATGAGGGCTGCACTACAGCTTATGCATTTAGAATGCTATACCTGTCATTAATGTTTCACTTGTAATTATTAGTCATTCCCCTACTTACTTGTCAGCATATACACTCAATGTTTATGTCCCTTTGTTTTCTTTTAATAATATGTAAGCATTCTTATGTGACTGTAACACTGTAATTTTTTGAGAATGTCTTTTTCTGCAATGTGCGTAGAAGATGAAAGTACTACTAACTTCCTCAAATGACAGTAATTTTCAGTCACCCAGGGATTCTTGCACAAAATTTTTTAGAATTTTAAATATGTTCCCTCTAGCATCCCAGTACATACTCTCCTTGGCTCTGTTTATGGTTACCAATAAATCACTGTTCAGACAAAATTCTGAAATTCATAATTTTAATACCAGGAATAATTCTAATTTTTTCCAAGTAACAACTCACTTGACGATGTTTCATAAAAGTCCCACCTATGCAGGCATTAAGATATATAATCATCTCCCAGCTGATATTAAGGGCTTGGCATGTGATATTAAACGTTTTAAAAAAGCATTACAAATTATTTGCATGAGCATTGTTTTCATATTGTGGATGAATATTTTATGCATAAAACTAGATATGTATTTCTGATGGTAATCTTAACATCACTGTATCAATATTTACAGTGTTCCATTATTTTTATTTTTCTTCGACAAAATCTTTTAATGATTGCATGTCTTATTAATATTACTGTACTAACTTGTATTCGTTTTTGACTTTTCTATATCCAACAATTGTACCAGTATGGATCAACAGAAAAATAAAAATATGAATGAATGGGAATCTCAAATCCCGTACTTGTATCATTCGTTTTCATTCCTTTCATGACCATTCAAATTCTTGATGAAAAATGAACTTCTGAATATATTTCAATGTGCATGTGCGTTGGCACACTGCAGTGCCAAAACGTGTTGCTATAAGCACTGAAATCCAAACATCCCTCTCATCAGAATCCAGACAGCTCTACACAACCTACTTCAAATGTAAACATATTTTCTGTCCATAACGTAAACGACCCTGTAGTTTAGAACAAGAATGCTCTTTCAAATTAAAAGGCCAATAATAATATAACTAGAATGAGTAGCCTCTTCAACGACTTTATAGCAATTCACCTGCACTCTTACTGTAAACATTTCAATATCCATACTAACCTAGGTTTTATCACTATCATCACTATATTACATCGCCTACACACATACAGATTTCAAACACTTACCTTTCGTTTTCGATGTCCCGCTTAAAATACCTAATCACAGTCAACGAACACAACCAACACTAACAAAACGCTAGTGCAACGCTAACCACAACAGCCTGAGCACACATACTCCTAGCCGCTCCAAGCGAGAATCACCAAATACCCGTGATTAAACAAAACCGCCCTCGATCATCTTGATCGCGACGATCGCGACCGCCTGTGATCGCCGCCTGCTTAAGAATGGCCAACTTCACAATGTTCACAATGCTCACAGAAGTGCAAGAAAAAATCGATTAGCAATGGAACTATCGCCCGTAAATTGCAGCTCGTAATACTGCATAATAGTGAACGGAGAAGTTCATGGAGGTAGACCTAGGCACACTGGGGCTGTAGTGCTGAGAAAAAAACATTTATAGCATATTTATTTGTGATGTTTCATGCTGATGGGTTGTGAGGTTGTGAGCATGATGCGTGTTCTGTAGGAGCATGCAGCGTGGTTGACGTGTGACAAGGAAACAATAGCATTTGCAAAAGAGAAACAAATAGCTGAAGGAATGAGTTTGATTGCCGAGGTACGTTAATGATTATGTGTTTAGGACAAGTAAAGATCTAAAACTAGTGACAGGTTAGACTGATTGTAATGGCTTCTGTTAGAGATAAAACTGAAAATGCACGGACGGGACTGTCTGCACGCAATTAAATTGTAGTGAAATTTGAGGAATGTGGTGAAGACTTTCGCCAACATAAGGTGTAATAATGAAATCTAACTTAACATGATACATGACACGAATGGGTGGAAATATGCTCATGGGTATGCCCCCCCCCCCATTTTTTTTTTTCATTTTGGTCAACCAAGAAGTCCCAAGGAAAACTATATTTAACAACACCGTAAAGGTTGCACAGGTTAACATGGTTTGTGTTAGGTCTAGTTCCGTGTAGAAAGTATTAAATAATTTTGTTAAAATGGCAGAAGGTAGCCGAGGTTTGCAAGGAACAGACAGATCAAATTCCAATACATTTTCTTGTTTTCTGGATAGAAAGGGGATTCTCTGATGCATTTTTGTACATCAGATCCCAATGAAATGTTTGAAATAGCACAAAAAGTTAATTTTTTTCAGTCAAATTTTGCTAGAAAGAAAAAGGATTCTTTATGGAAGAATTTGTTTTTATGCTCATTAAAATGAAATATTGCTGCTTCATAGAAACATTAATATTGTATACATTATTCAAACATCAAACCATTTGTTAATATAGAATATTAAAATTTATATGATTTGCTAATCATGATCTATCCAGTGCATCAGCAAAGGTTGCCTGCAGTATGTTTTGCTGTAAAATTCTTTTGTAATTACTGAATGATCTGGCCCAGTATTAAATAATTGTGAAAATATTTGTTCAGTGTTTGAGGTATGGTGTAATACCTTTATGCTAACAGATCAGGCAGTATTTCAGTAACACAGGGACCTATTAAGAACAACAAGCAGTTAGAAATCAATAAACCTAAATGGAGAATTATGATCCAAGTTATTATAATTATTACAAAGCATTTTTTCTGAGACAGTTGTAATTTTGTAATGTGTGATAGGGACAGAATTGTCTGTCCTAGCTAGAGTACTGGGTTTGGTTATGAAGAAGTGAATTGGATTTGTAAGTGGTATATCTGTTATGTAAACCTCTTAGATTGTGTTCCTGTTTATAAATTTATACCCCTTCCCTCCTCAGCTGAACTCTTGATACTGCCCAACACAGATGACAGAGTTAGAATGTGTTCATATTATCCTCAGGCCGACATTATTTAATAACTCAAGTTTCCTTGTAACACAATTTTTCAGTTAGCTGGTGATGAGCTGGACAAGAAATCCCGAACGTTTGTCTTCAAGGAGGGTGGTCACACGTTCGGAAATGCGTTGAGATGTATCATCTCTCGCTAGTAAGTTGATTCAAATATGCAAAATAAAATATTACAGTGAACAGAATAAAATTTTATGCACACCCATTTCTGACTAATTCTGAGGCAGGCATATATACATCTTGTCAAGCACTGTGGCATATTTAACTCCATGGAGCAGAGTAATTCATGGAACCTGATAGTTGCTCAACTACTTTAGATATTACTCACCTTTTATGAAACTCGATCCTTTACTGTTTACTCAGACCCATCATCGGATCATATCCTGAGTCAGAGGAATCCAATCCTCAACTGCCTATCCAAGTCTCACTAAATCACATGCTCCCAATATTACACTTAAATTCTCCTCTTCACAGCCGCATGCTTGCAACTAACTCTTTTCTTTGCTGCCTGTCAACTGACAACTGCACTCGTTATCAGATGTTGGCGGCTCGGATTGTGTTGGACTCACCAGCATTGGCCGAGCTGGCCCAGAAGTGGCAACAAGGCTGGAAAAGAAGACAGATACCAGCCAGATGAGACTGAAACCCGAAACGGAATATTAAGAAAAAATGGATGCCAATCTAAAAGAAGTAAAAGAAGACAAAATCCAACCGAGACATCCAAACAGAAACAAGAGCCATCCAAGCAAAAGCAATGCCGGCTGAGACTACATGCAAGAAGTGATGAAAACCAACCAAGAAAGGATGTAAACCAAGATGGACACCATCCAAGAGAAGAAGAACCTCAATCTAAGGGAGATCAAAGTAGAAATGAAGGATGGACAAAAAGAGACAATGGCCTGCCAAGATGCAATGGAGGCCAATCAAGAGACGATGGAGCCAAATCCAGAAGAAAAGGAGGCCGTAGTGGAGTAGCAGGAGATTCCTAATGAAGAGGTAGCAGTTCTTTCCCTGTGGGGATACCGAAACGAGAGAATGGCCTGCCAAGAAATGACGGAGGCATGTCTGGAATGCGAGGAGCCAACCTCACTAGACATGAAGGCCTGCCACGAAGTGACGGAAGCAGATATAACATTTAGATAAGATTCAGCCTAATCCAAGAATGATGCACTGTAGGGGAGCATCAAGAGATCCCAAGATAGATGTCATAGTGAAACTGGTCGAAGGACGGAAGAAGCGGCATAGGGGCTGGAAGCTAGCTGCAGGGTACATGGAGAGCCATGGGAACCAACCCGAGGAATTTATGGATCCCGGAGGAGGTTGGGTGCCGCCTGCAGGAAGGTGTCCTGCCATGCAACAGTGGCATGGTGTAAGAGGAATGTCTTCAGGAAATCTTGGACCCAGGGAAATTGTGAACCATGGAAGGAAAGTTGCCTTTATGCCATGGCCACTTTTCTCCAAAGGGAAGAGCCCCCATTAGCCATTACATTAGAGGCTGGGCTGGGAAGCCAAAGCTCTTGTAGTGTAAAAATATGAATATGTGCCATGGACTATTACTTCGATACAGGACTTCCCACCACTGCAGTCTTGAGTTCAACCCTGGGTCTGGTCATGCGGGATTTGTGGTGGAGTTCTTTGGTTTCGTCTGCCAATCTTCATTCCACCAATTGCTCCACAATCACCATCATCTATCATCTGGGGCTGGTACAGTAGGTCAGTAGTGGGTGCAGTACCACTACTTAGGTACAGAACAGGCTGCGCCATAGCTCAAGCAGTTAGTCGCTGGCTTCCCACGGTGGCAGCCCGGGTGTGGTCAAGTGGGATTTGTGGTGGAGTTCTTTGGTTTCGTCTGCCAATCTTCATTCCACCAATTGCTCCACAATCACCATCATCTATCATCTGGGGCTTGTACAATAGGCCAGAAGTGGCTGCAGTACAAGGGACTTAGTCCCATCCCACTAGCAATAAAAAAAATAGGTACAGAACTCACCCGTACAGTATGAAGGTCCACTGTAGTAGATCTTCTTCCTAGGATTACTGTAGTACAGGTAATTTCTGTGTTGTACTGTACTTGTTTCACATTCCACACATGTAAGGTACCCCTAAACTTTGTTATAAACCCAGTTTTTCTTTTCTAGCCCTGATGTTACGTTGTGTGGCTATACAATACCTCATCCTTCTGAGACTGCAATGCACTTTAGAATCCAAACAACAGGATCAGCAGCTGTGGATGTTTTGAAGCAAGGCATTGAAGACTTGGAAAAGTTGTGTGACCATACATTGACTGTGTTCCAGGTAAAATTCAGTTGCGTTATCCTTTTGTTTGATATATTACCCACATCTTAAGAACTGTCCAAAATTGTTAAGCCTGAAAAGGGATTGTAATGACTATCTTTTGTCCATCTGTACAGTTCATAATACCATATCATATACTGGCAACATACAAATTTATTATTTCAGAAGTTAATGTAGAAATTCTAATCAATTTCAGAAGCTCTGTACTTTTCTACTTTAATTAAAATGTTCTTCTACATTGCAGGATGAAATGACACAGTTTAAAGCAGCAAATTGAAATGTTTCCAGTTTCTCTCCAAAGACTCATAAGAAATGCAGAAATGTGTATTTTATAATAAAAATAATTTGAAAAAGGATAATTTGCTGTTTGATCTTGGTTCCCAATGTGAGTAAAGTAAAAAGTAAAGGTATCCCTGTAACAGACTGTGGAGGGCCATAGGGTTGTGAGATGTTGAGGTTCCCACATTTTCTAGACAGCCAGCTCATAGATGGTGGCAAGGTTGTCAGACCTGCACACCAGCCGCCCTTTACCCTCAAGAATATTCCTGGTACTCATTTCTGTTAGAGGCTGAGTCGACCCCAGGGCCATAGTGCATTCAGAAGGATTAGGTCAACTGAAAAAAATCCAATGACCTCATCGGGACTTGAACCCATGACCTTCCGACTTGTAGTATAGTGCCTCAACCAACTACATTACTGTGTGCCCAATGTGAGTATCTGCCAGATAAATTATATGCACTAGGTCGATGGTGAGAAGTCTTGAAGCAAATCTTCTGCCACAAATTTAGTTTGAATTGTAATGCGACTGTTATCTTCAGAAAACTGTAAAATTATAATACAGTAAAACTTGGTTATAGCAACATCGGTTTCTGCGACACCTTGTCTATTGCGTCAAATATTCAATGGTACGAACTAATTCCTCATAAAGCAACTGTTTTTATACCTTGCTTAGTACGACATGCACAAATGCATCAACCTCGTATGTAACGTCATTTTCATTCCTGAATTTCTCTGATATCGTGGGAAAGTTCGATGTGTCTGCCCACCCTCACTTTCTCTACTTGCTGACGTGACTGTCCTGGAAGAATACGACCGCGGGCTGCAAGAGGAGCGTGGGTTTTATGCGAAAACAAGGGTGTGGGGTGGGACTGCGTGAATAGTGCAAGAGGACGTGGCAGGTTGTTAACTGCATTCCTTTCCTAGAATCTCGTCTAACAGGACCTCACATTGTCTACTTACCCTATAGTGTTCCTGCCTAAACCCAGAGAAGTGCAGTAGCGAAAACATGGCAATGAAAAGGAAAGTTTTAAGCATTGAAGAGAAAGTTAAAGTGATTCGTGAAATAGAAAATGGAAGGAAAAAAGCTGATGTATGCCGCGAATTTGGTATGGTGAATTCTACAGTACAAACGAAATGGAGAATCCATATTAATTCCACGTTAATGTTACGTTAGTCTGTACTTAACTACGTATTTCACTAAAAAATGCAACATTTTAACTCAGTTTTTGGTAGATTTTTACGTGACTAACATAAGGCTATTGTGGAAGTGCCCATTTCGGTTACGACAACATTCATTTATAACGACACTATTTTTAGGTCCCTTTGATGACGTTATAACCAAGTTCTACTGTAGTTTGATATTGCCTGTGGGGAATTCCTTCATTGTGTTTCTCTGCTAAGTGAGATGGAGTCTGTCTCTGAAGTGGGGGGTTCCATTGTTAATTTGTGGTGTGAAGCAGTTTCATTTGAGTAGATGTGTAAACCCCCAAAGGTGTCTCCACCTTGTCGTGGTCATGGGGCTTGCATGACTTTGACCTGGAGAGCTATGCCAGCGGTAGAGTAACTACCAGTATGGTCACCCACGCCAGAAAGGTCAAAGGGTACAAGCCAGAGAGAGAGAGAGACCCTGATCCTCCAGGTTGGGGGTTGGGCATGAGGTTAACCTCATACTGTAAAAATAATTTTGTTCAGAAACCTAACAACCAGCCTCGGATACATCATGCATGGGTCCATTCCTATGGCAGCACGCATTGCTTGTGGAGGACACCAAGGCTCACCCAGGGCTGTAGCACCGAGTGGTAGGTAGGTAAGTGGATGTGTAAATAATCTGTATTCATGTCATCAAAAACTGATTTCACTCAGGCAATGCCTGTCATATGCAACCATTCACTATGAGTACCAGAGAATTGATTCTGGAACCATGTAACTTTAACTGCCCTCACTAGTAACATGTCGCAGAAATGTAATGTTTTTCAAGCTTAGGAGACAAAGTTAAATGAACGGACATTCAGAACAAAGTTTAAGGTCTCCTATTATTTATTTAAGAAGTTTGTTAGTGAGGTGGTGACATGATTTAATAAAAATGTCTGGTAGCAGTTAAGGCCTAATTTGAGATACTGTCCTAGCATCTGCACAAAATAGAGGAAAGCTTACAGGATAGCCAGCATCTGAGCTCGGATTTAAACTGGTCACCTCACAAATACAAGTCAGAAGTATTACCACCTAACCCAACTTGCTTCGTAAACTCCCCTGCTAACGTGTTCTTTTCTAACACTGGAGTTAAACTACATCAGAATTTCTTCTGAAGACCTCTGTCAACCAGTCTACGAAATTAAGAATAATACAAAGTTCAAAGAAGGGTAGCTACTCTCTTGGAGGTAGGAAGTACCAAGACATGGAGATGTGGACAGGGGTATCGTTTGCAATGACATGAAACATATACCACATAAATACATTTCCGCAGTGGTCTCTTTATTATTAAGCTATGCAGAGAACCAAATACACTTCTCCAGAAGACACATTAAGATTCTCGCTGGCTCCCAACAGGGCGATGGGTTTTGGCCAAGAAGTCGGCAAATTCTTGGTATGGAGGCTTTGTCAGTGGCATCTCCTTCCATAAGTCAGGAGTCAGGTATGCATATGTCTTGGCAATTGCTGCATATGTTGCCTTGGCTATAATAAAACGTTAAATAATTGTAAAACAGCATCAAAGGTGACATGCTCTACATACAGTGGACCCTCGAACTTTGAATGGTTTGATGTTTGAACAACTTGAAACTTAAACAAAAATTTAAGGAAAATCTGGTTTTGAAACTTGAACAAAACTCGAAAGTCAAGCAAAAAATCATGTGGTTGTTGTGCCTTGCAGAGAAGTGGCACCCCAATATGGCAATTGCGAACAGGAGTATAAACTTGTTTAATGACAATGTAATGCAACATTTCAGGAAAAAAAAAATAGACATACAAATGATATTAGACAGGTTTCTCTCCAAAGAAAAATCAAGTGGTGGTAATGTTAATGAACCACAACTCTCAACTAGTGGATTCCAGGTGAAAGAGGGGTAATTCACCTTCCAGTGAGCAGTAATATCCCTCCTACTATTGTTACTGATTGAATATTATGCACTGTTTTATATATGTACTATTATAAATAAGAACATTCCATTACTGAAATTAAGTATACTTGTTTTATCATTATTTACCAATATCATCTTTTGAAATAGGCACTTAAAATGTTTTATATTGGGTAACTTTTTGGGGTCTGGAACACATTAACTCAATTTACATTATTTCAAATGGGGAACTTAATTCAAAAGTTGAACTGTCTCCTGGAATGGATTGTGTTCGAAGTTCGAGGTTCGACTGTACACGATTCTCAATCTGAACAATGCCATACATGCAAGGCATGTTGCAGCAGTTCAATTAAACTGTGCTACAGCTAACAAGCAAATGTACATGCTGCTACCGATGTGCACCAGAAGATATCTAATCCATTTAACGCCTGTTGTGGGAATTTAGTTTATAAACAGGTGTGTCTGTATGATGGACGAAAAAGGAAAAGCATTGCATGAGACAGCCAATAACAATTACTTACCAAAATTGCCAAGCGTACCCGTCGAGCCTCTAGCTGATGTATAGCAATCTTCAATACCAGCCATCTGCAATAACTTTTTGGGAACAGGTGCTGACACAATGCCTGTACCACGGGGAGCTGGAATCAGGCGCACCTGAACTGACCCACATTTGCCTGTTACCTGTAAAGAATTTATGAAAACGAACCTCATCATACCTGTGGAAGAAAATTGGGTGGGAACAATTTCCTGGCCATTCTGTACATTTACCATTCATAGCAATTCAATGCTGACCGACCCTCAGCAGCAACCTGTATTGTCCAGAACAACGGAATGGAAGTTCTTTATACTTTTACCAAATTCAAACCATTTTACACACAGTTAATTAAAACATGAAAATTTACCCACCCGTGTTCCAAGACCAAAGTAAGGCAACATACTGTGGCAGTAACAAAACACTGAGAATGAAATGGAAAGTACACAGGAGCGGAATAAATTGGTGTACATATAATTAATTACATGTATAGCCAAATAAATCTGTTCATATGGTCAAGTTAAATATGCACTGCCATATCTTACACTAGTAAATACTACATTAAAATGCTCAGGTAACACAGTATTGCATGCAAGGTAGGATGATCCTTTCACAGCCTACCTGATGTGTTAACTTGATACTGCACAAAACACAACCCTATTCAACAAAGCCTCCACGCCACCAACTGAAAGAATTACGGGGAACAGCAAAACTATGGGTACGTCCAGATGGACTGGCCATGAAGTGAATGGCAGAAGATTTAGTAGTCTGCTTCAAAGCAGCAGATTACCTTGCAGGGCACAGTGTGAGGCCGGCCAATCTTGTTGCCCCAGTATCCGCGTCTTACAGGTACCACTGACAGTTTGGCCAAAATGATTGCGCCTCTAATTGCTGTTGCCACTTCTTTGGAACACTTCACACCCAAGCCAATATGTCCATTTGAGTCGCCAATAGCTGCAAAAAAAATTATTATGAAACCATGTAATTAGTTATCAAAATAACTGCATCCTATACAAATATAATACAAAATGCTGAATAAATAAGAGATGTTAAAACATGACTCAAACTTTTTTTTATGTTGAGGGTAGCTTTTGGTGGGGATGAAAAGAAGACAAATGAAGAAGAGCATATCTTAGAAGGCAGACTGGACCAAGATTTGGGGGGCAGGGGGGTTAGGAGGAGAGCCTTATGGGGTTATACCCAATCCTTGGTCTGGCACGTTTTGTGAGAACCGTATACATGTGGCATGCTCTCTGCTGCTTGACCAACTGGATTGTTTTATTCCAGGCAGGAATTAACTGGCAGCCACCTTCTGTATTAAAGCTGTCATGGAGGTTGCTTTCTATGGTTTCCCAGATAACTCGTATAGTGGGGCAGATGAGATGATGAAACGGAAGTATATCCACATCACCTAATTGGCTGAAGGCTCTGCCACATCCAAGCATTCCACATGGCTGAGCTATAGGTCTCTCTGATGCTTCTTCTCATGTTCTTCCATCATGTGGCCTATCTTACTGATGTATATGGCTCCATATTTACATGGGATCTTGTAGACTCGTGGGGCTTTTAATCCCAGGCTATCCTACACTGCTTGAGAATGTAGCATTTCTTCAACCTTGCCTCACACCACCATCTGGCCCAGGAACTTGGTGCCCTCTCTATCTCAGTATATATAGCAATCATCTTTGAAGAAGCCAACCTACACACCAAACTGTCTCACATGAAGATGATTTGCATGAAGAATCATTGTTCTTTCAGCCAGAACCACAGAGCGCTTTGAACTAGCAGAACAATAAGGGGGACACAACATGCAAGAAAACTTATGGAGCAGCAATTCTACTATATGTGTAAAATGTATTTAACTAAACACAGAGAGAGCTGTCGCAATGCAACAGCTGTGAATTAAGAATGCTGTATATGAATAGTGTATGATATTGTGACATAATTGCGCTATGCAGGACACTCCCTCCCCGACCAGCGGTGTTGCTGCTATGGTAACAGGCCAGTTAACACTCCGCCCCCTCCCTCGCGGTGACATAACAGCACTTCCCACTGTGACATAACACGCGACACCACTATTGACACAGGCAAGAAGGAACAGTATAAAAAGCCAGGTGAGCAGTATGTCAACAGTGCGTGAGATCAGGGGTGACACAGAGTGGATCGCGAAGTCGCAGGGTGCAGTTTCAATCTAGCAGTCGTCAAGTCAAGTTGTGTCGAGTGCAGTGACTCCAGCAGGAGAATTATGTGTGATACTGCCATGGCAGTAGTTGTGTAATTGTGAGAGTAAGTGGAATAAATTCGCTAGATCCAGAATTGCGTGAAGTTATTTGTCGCGTGTGACCTACCCAACACGTGACAATATGTTTGGTATAACTCTCCATCAAATATACATTTTTAATAAGTCTTCTGAACAATGAATAAACACAGATTTGGATACACTGGATATGCAAAACTTACCAACAAATGCCTTGAACCTGGTCCTCTGTCCAGCACGAGTCTGTTTCTGGACTGGCATGATCTTCAAGACCTCATCTTTAAGTGTTGGTCCAATAAAGAAATCAACGATCTCAAATTCCTATCAGGTCAGAAAAAATGAACTCTGTATTATGGTTGCAAATAAGCCTTGAAACATAAAGACACCGCATATGAACACAATAACTCATTTAGAGTATAATACCACATCTTAATAATGTGCATCCTGTTGTGTCATAAATAAGATATATAAAGTATAGAATATACCGTCTACACAACAATCTGTATTCAAAACAAAGAAGACACACTACTGCATCACATTTGCTTTTATTATGTTTATTAGACATACCACATGTTTTGACCCTTTCACAAGTCATAATTAGGCATACAAAGCACAAGTCTGAGCTGTTGAGTTGCAATCGTTGTTATATTCATCGAATAAGATAACAAAGATTAAGATATAAAAATTCAAAATAGTGTTTTGTTGGTAACACTTTGTGACTGCTACATGTAGGCCTGGTTTTAAGCTGGAAGCGACTACAGCATCGAGGAACCACGTGACGGAGTCTTCTCGTTAGGACCACATGAGGGCCACACCATAGCTCATGCACTTAGTTGCTGACTTCCCACAGCAGCAGCCTGTGGTTAGATCCCGGGTCTGGTCAAGTGGGATCTGTGGTGGCCAAGTGGCGCTGGAGCAGGTTTTCCCAGAGTACTTCGGTTTCCCCTGCCAATCTTCATTCCAGCAACTGCTCCACAATCACCCTCACCTATCATATGGGGCTGGTACAATAGGCCAGCAGTGGCCACAGTACAAGGGACTTAGTCCCACCCCACTAGCAATAAAAAAACTAGGACCACATGACCTATCCTATCGCGTTTTCGTGCATGTTCTACCTTAATAGGCAGCGAGAATAGATAAATATCTTCCAGGGTTCGAATCTTCCCTTCCCGCACAAGCCGACCTAGTTTGGTTATTGGGATCCATTCTTTTTCTGCTTCCTTTCCTCTTCCACGTCCACGTCCACGGCCGCGTCCGCGACCTCTCTGCCCACGACCTCCACGAGACCCAAATCCACCGCGAAATGAACCTCTTCCACCGGCTGGAGCAGCGTCCGCCATATTCTGTAGCAAAAAAAAAAAAAAAAAAATAACCTCATATATATGAGCGTATAAACACAGAAACACATTGCAAACAAAAAATATATAAAAATGAACACCCATTGTACACAGTACGATCTCCAGAACTTACGTGTAGCATTATGTACACCTACATTCTCCTCTCGTTATTACCTGTGTCAGGAACATTACAAAATCGAACTTTCATGTTTAATACAATTTTCAGATAAAAAATGTTTTCAAGTACCTATCAGGAAGAGAAGATATTGCTAGGTTCCTCTATAGATATATAACGCTATAGTCAATAACAAGATCAAAATAATTGCATACATATACTTACACGTGGTTACTTCCCAACGTATTGGAAAACTAGGGACCGTTTGTACCTATAGGTGGCACTCACGAACGCTCACGAACATAGCGATGACATAGAACGTATCCGTGGTACCGACCGTACCGACGGAGGCATGGGAAGTGTTCATATGTTACATGGAATCATGGAATGCTTCGCAAGTCTATTGCCGTAGGGCTGAAATATTTATGACCTTTGATGTTACTGGCGGTCTGATTACAAATTAAGTACTGTGCTGTAAGCGGTTGTAAGGCGAAGTAACTGTAGTGTTGTTGTTGATGACCGGTATAGTATTACGACTGCTGTAAATCCAAAGACATAAGCTGAACTCTTCGAAACTTCGTTCATGTAGGATTCACGAATGTATATAGAGAATGGATCCTTTGGTAACATCAACTCACACAATTGATTTCACAGATCAGATATTCCGAGTTGAGTTTTCGCCATATGAATGGTCACAGAATATAATTTGTATCGCCCTTGCAAATAAAATTGCTGTCGGCAATGTGAAATTTCAGGTATATATATATAAGTAAATACATTTTCTTGCGTTTATTTTAAAAATCATGATGTGCAAATGACCCAACCCAGCCTTCTAGGAGACACCCCAGAAATGTGCCCAATTACGCATTGAAAGAACACATTTTGACCTATTTCATACGAGAATACAAGTATAATAGAGCTGAAGCTAGTAATTCCATGGTTAGGCAAGGAAGAATGAGGAAATACTCAAAGTTTAGAAATGTTGAAAAAATACCAGCCATTTAACATAACACCAAGTTGTTGTCACTCGTTTTTTTGTGTGCTGCCATTGTGGTCTGATATGTTACATATGATAGTAATAATGATGCTTTTCCATGTGTTCAGTTTCTTTGCTGCCAGGGTGCGAGTTCCTTCCAGCCTTAGTTCAGTTGCATATTAGGTGCCCTTTTCACAGCTGGTCGATCGCTTTAGACTTAGCAAGGAAATACTGTGTGAAACGTTATCGCCATACCACTTGTATGTTCTCATGATATCGCCATAAATACAGGGAACGTTACCATTATGCTATAATATTCATATTGAGTTATGTGTATTTAATTTTGTTTGTAGTTGAGTATGGGATACAGAACTCAGGAAAGGGGTAAGTACATTATGTTTTCCATATATGTTGATGAAACATTCTGATGTATCATTTTTCGTCAGGAGGAAGATGATGATTTAGAAGATGAATTAGAGTTCCAGTTGTTAAAAGAGTTTCACCATGAAACACGTGTAAGTGCTCTAGCATGGAGCCCTGAAACTTCGTTAAGTGTGCTGCCAAAATGTTTATCATTTGCTAGTGCAGGTGCAGACTACAAGCTTCGACTGTTCACCAGTGATTTGGTAGCCAGTCATACATTACAGGTAGTGAAAATTTATACCTTTTTAAATGGTATATTCCATTTATGTTGTGGTCTTCCAAGTTATGGTACCATATAGTAGGTGGGTACAAAAATTGTTGGAGGAATACGTCACTTCCATAGTCAGGGTAAAATCTACCCTGGAGATGGGAGCAGGGTGTTCCGCCTGAGGTATTGGTACCCACCCACCCGATTACAGTGTCATAACTCAGAAGAATGATTGTATATTCATCGCTGTGAAACCCTCAAATCTTGTAAATGTGTTCCATTCTTGCATGTGAGATTCATTCAGAACTGTTCCTACAGGCAATTGGTCTGACAGTGGGAAAGACTGTACACAATTTCTCCTTCTCCATCTATCTCTGTTTTTTCTGATGCTAGGTTATAGTGTGCTTTTACTCGGCACTGATATTCTTAGTTTTAATATAAAATAAATTAATTAGCTGGATACTTATAGTTTGTAGAATGTTACAGGTCCTCTGTGGTCACACAAACTATGTGAATTGTGTAACTTATGATCCAGAGGGACAGTTTCTGGCTTCAGTTAGTGATGACCATAAATGTAAGCTCTGGAACATCAAGGAAGATAACAGTTGCACTGCAACATTTTTCCTCACTTCTCCAGGTAATGGAAACACAATAGAAATCAATGAATTCCTATCAGTTTTACCCCCTGTGACATTAATTTTATGATGATTTGATTAAAAAATTTCCCTGCTGTTTCAGAATGTATGAGGATGTAAGATATGTTCACACAGAATGCATTGTCTTCTAGGACTGCTTTCATCTTAGAAACCAACCTGAAATATGAATTTTTTGTACATAATTCAGCTTGATTAAAGTATCTTATTAAAATGACTTCAGTATCATAGAGATCAGGGGAGAAAGGTGGTCTTAGGATAAGACACTGGATTCTCTTTCAAAGGGTTGAGTTCAATCCCCAGATGGACCCGTGTTTAAATTTTTCTGCGCGTAGACTGAAAGCTTTACCTTTACTGAACATAATACTATATGAGTATGAAGAGGTCCAGCCCAATAGCCCATGTATCTAAGCCCACATTGAGTTTTCTCCCCCACCCTCTCCCTGTAACAGGCTGTGGAGACCCATATAGTTGTGAGACTTTGAGGGTCCCACATTTTCTAGACAGTTTACTCAGATGGCGGTGAGGATGCCAGCCTTACACGCTGGCCACCCTTTACCCCCAGGAAAATTCCTGGTACTCATTTCTGTTAAAGGCTGAGTTGACCCCAGAGCCATAGTGCGGCTGTAAGGATTAGGTCAGAGGTCAGAAAAGTCAACACAGACTTGGGCACTCAACAAGATGTCGAAGTGTGCTAGCCCCATTCATAATGGTCTTAAAACGAATTCCTTCTGCATACTTGAGTGAAGGTGGCGCTTGATTATAAACAAAACATTTCTTAGTTTCATGAGTTTCAGTAAATGTGAGCTTAACCCTGTTCCTCTGATTCCCTATTGTAGATTTAAAGAAATATAAATATAATAGAATTACTAGAAAATAAATGTGTTGTAGGTATGGCTGTGTGCTTTCATCAGGAGGCAGCTGGTAAGCTGCTGGTTGCTGAAAAGAATGGAGTCATTCACCTTTACAACGTTCTGAGTCACCAAGCCATTCTGTCTGTAGACAGTGGATCGATTCCACTCATGTCAGCTGATTGGTCTTCCAGCAACAGTCTCTATGTCGCTGCAATTGCAGCTGGAGAGTTGTTGGTATGGGACATTTCTAGGCCCAGGTGATGAGTATGTTTTTTTTTTCAGACAGACTTGAAGTTTGCCTTAAATGTAGCTTCAAAATAAACGTCCACTTCTGACTTATTTTTAAGGATGAAATCTGGATAAACTCTCTGGTCACTTTATGGTATAAACAGTTATTTTTCATTTGAGACTCTGGAATTTATTAGAAATTTCTATTTTACTTTAAATGTTGATGGCCATATTGTGAAAAGCAGCTCGTATTGAAGATATGTTTGTAATTCAAGGTGTTGGTCTCGTTTTGTTTAGCGATACAAGACAGAATTTTCAGCGTGAAGTCTTTCATGCCTTAATACCAGTGTGACCTCCATGGTGTGAATACTGTTTTTTGATTAGTGTCTCAGTCATGGTGATTAGTATATTGAGTGCTACTGCCAAAATGTTGGTCAAGTTAAAAGTTAGTTTTCAATTGTTGATTTTTGATTGTTTAATGTGTTCATAATCATGAGTAGTTACTGCAGTTGGTTTCAGTATAAGTCCATAAAACTTTCACCCCTATCTCTGTGACGTTGGTCAATTATCAGTGATCTGTCCAGACTACCATATCTAACTGTGATGGTAGTACACCATTACAAGACAAAATAGTACTCTTTCAGAATGCACCTTCAGCAAGCAGTTCTTTACTTTGTTACCAGATAGTGCATGCAAGTATATTTTACAATTCTTTGAATGCGTGTAAATTGTTTCCTGTTAATAGCTTTATAATGATATTCTGCATACAGCTAGTTTAAAGCAAAAATTGGATGAGCTTGGAGGGAAGCCAGCAGCAAAATTGCTGGGAATTAAAGTACTGAATGATATATTCTTAAAAATGTATTTTGGATTTCAAGTACAGAGTCTGTCTTGATTAGCTCCTATGGTCCAAAGTACAGTTCTGGACTGGAATTTTACTAAAAAGTCTTAACGTTGTGAATGTACTCTATCTCCCTTTGAATAAATTTTTATGGTTTCCTGTAAAAGTTATGGTACAGATTATCAATATGTACCATAGTTATCATTCGTTAGTAGATGCCCTTAGTAACAGCTGGTTTGAAATATTTTCGTGATAATGATTAGAAGTGAAAACTGGCAGATTTATGTGTGCTTGAAACTCAAAATCAGTTGCTCTAAATATTCACAGATGGTGATCAGCTCTTAGTAATCATTAAATAAGTTTCATTTGATCCAAAATAATATGTTTTGGCTGTATTAAGTTGGTTTCTTTCACATAAACATTTGTTAACCGTATGATGATAATGTTGGAAAGACATGATTTTTTGTTTCCTCAGTCTGCCAATAGATGCACGACCTGTTCATGTTGAAGGGGGCCAGTTGCTACGATTTTCCCAGCTAAGTGATCAGTATATCGCCACAGTTGGTCAGGCTGATCTCCAGCTAAAGGTCACATGTATTAAGAGCAAACAACCGGCACTGACAGCATCACTTCAGGTACTGATTTAAAAAAGATACTTCTAGTTAGGCATGTTGGTATAGTACTAGAAGTGGTCTTTGTCATGAATTATGCTGTGTGAAGTGCAGGAAATTACAGGTATCCCTCAATTTACGAAGGTAATTGTTCCATCATAACTGTTTATAAGGTTACAGTTTGTAATTTTGAAATGATTGTGCACTGTCATTACGCGGACAAAATAAAAGAGCTCAAGAGGCATGAGTTTGGTTTGTGTCATCCTGTAAATGTGGTAGTTTGTGAAATTAATTCTTTTATACTTAAAGTAAAAGTTTAATTGTAACATAAGTAGCTTAAAATGTAGGTGTTTTTCATGTTCTGGACTACACCTTATTTTGGGCATGCATTGTACCTTATTTTCATTTTAGTTTAGGATGACAGTTACACAAGCAATTTCAAATTGTCAGGTTTCAGGGTTTTATAATGAAGTTTTTTTCCCCATACAGTGGAAGTAAGTATAACAGTAATATTTATTATTCTTCCTGAATTACATAGTGTGTTGTGATGTTCCCTCTAGTAGTGCATTTAATATTCACTTTTCTTCCAGCTTGTGGGTGGCTTGACGTGGCATTTTCGTTTACCTTATGTCTGTGTGGGGAATGATCGTAAACTTTGCTTCTGGAAAGTTGCTACTAAATGAGAGGAGGAATACACTGTCAGGACAGGCAGATATCCTTGTAATGTTGAGAAATAAATTCCCAGTCAGAAGAATACAGAGCAGTAACTAATTATGAAAGTCAAAGGAGCAGGAAATCAAACAGACTCCGGTTGTTATCAGCACAAGGTTCAGAAGATAACACGTGTATTAACTGAATTCAATTAATCAGAAATGTTTATAGATAACAAATGGAAAGAAGTCATTAGTACTGAATGTGTTGTTTGGAAATACAAATTTCTGATTGATCTGTTATGTGAAGTATCAGTCATGCTGGACACTCAAGTAATCCATTTCTCTAAAGTGTATGAAGTTTTTATCATCTGCAAAATCTCATATAGATCCTGGAAATGGTTATCTCTTTGTTGGTTCTGGAATTATTCAAAATAATTTATAATAACCTATTAATGAAATGCAAAGAAACATTTTATTAATGCCATAATGTCAAATATCCCTAGTGGATAATATGTATTAAAATTAAATTTTTATTACAAATTTTAATATTTATTGAGAATCTCCTTCAGATCCATAAATGGCAGGAGAGAAAAACAGAAGTTGGACATATGTACATAACATTTCTGCTGTGCCCTGAGTACAAAAAGCACATTAAATATGATACAATTAGTTATACTTTCATTTGTCTTGTAATAGTCTTATGTATGTTCTTGCATCTGTAGTTTTATATATGAATAAAGGAGATACTGGGATTTAATAAATGTAATTCAGTAAAATGTATCTGTAATACGAAGTCCTGCCACCTCAGATTCCTGTCCTCTGGCCTCTGTTCCTGTAGTTGCTTCATGATGCTAATGCATGAAGTGATCTCTGTCTTAACACTGTTCCATCACTAAGCAACCAAGTATGATTTAATGTGTACATCATTTACGATATGGCACCACTGTTCTGCCGAATGTTATACATATATATGCGGCAGGACACGTGCTCTCTTTGGGAGTGCTGACAGTTTGAACTTGGGTTTGAAACCAAAACAAACGCTCGTAAGGTCATGTCAGTGGTTCATCCCTTAGCTCTGAACAATAAAATCGTTTATCACGGTACTGGTTTCAAAACTATTTACGTTTAGCTATGACTGTTTATGACCTGGTCAGCCAAATGTAGCCCAGCTTTGTTTCGAGAACTGATGAGTAAATATTTATCGGTGCTTGCATATGAGTGCTTCCAGAGCCTTCAAGGAAGTCTGACGCAATCAAGGATTGGTTTTTAATGGCGAATTATCAGTCAGGAAATCAGTGTTGGATTGTGTAATATTTCTTTATCAATTAGAAAGTAATTAGAAAGTCGTTAGAAAGACTGTCATATACGAAGGGGGACCCAAAAATAACCGGAACCAACCTGTTGCACATGCATGCTTTGTAGTTATGAGTTATGCTGCTAGGTGGTGTTGGCTGGGGGTCTCCCGCGACTATTAGTGAGCTGGCGTCAGTCTGAGTTAAGTGGTTTGTCTGTGGTGCTCTGTTGTGTGCGTTCCTGTTTCAACCCTTTGGCGATTAGTGAGATGGCCGACCAGAAGGAACAAAGAGTGCGTGAAATTTTGCTTTCTGTTAGGGAAAACTGCAGCCGAGACTGTTGGGATGCTTCGGCAAGCCTTTAATGATGATGCTTTGGGGAAATCACAGGTCTACGAGTGGTTTTCCCGTTTCAAATCTGGCAACATGTCAACAGAAGACATGCCACGCCCCGGGCGTCCTTCGACAGGAAGAAATGACGAAAACATTGCCAAAATCAAACGTGCAATTGATGAAGATCGTCGAAAGACCATTGACCAACTTTCTGAGGAAACGAACATCTCATGGAGCACGGTCCAGCGAATTTTAACCGAAGGTTTGCACATGAGATGGGTGTCTGCAAAATGTGTTCCTCGCTTGCTCGGAGATGACCAAAGAGAAAACCGCGTGAATGTTTGCCGCGACTTGAAGAGTG